CTAGAAGGTGCATTGTTGTACGATATTTGAATGACAGAACTTCTGTAGATGTTCATTTCCCTGGAATCCACTCTAGTAGTAGTAGTCATGCATGCTGGAAGATGCATTATTCTTCGATATCTGAATAACAGAACGGCAAAAGCTGTTCATTTACCTGGAATCCACTATAGTAGTAGTAGTCATGCATGCTGGAAGATGCATTGTTCTACGATATTTGAACGATGGAACGGCAAAAGCTGTTCGATTACCGGGAATCCGAGCTAGGTGTAGTTGTCATGCATACTGGGAGGAGCATTGTGCTACGATATTCGAATGACAGAACCGCGATAGGTGTTCATTTCCCTGGAATCCGCTCTAGGAGTAGTAGTCATGCATACTGGGAGGCGCATTGTTCTCCGATATATGAATGACAATTCTTCAAGTGATCATCATGTACCAGGAATCCCGGGTTGGAGTAGTAGTCATGCACACTGGAAGGTACATTGCTTTACGATATTTGAACCACAGCACGACAAAAGGTGTTCATTTGCGTGGAATCCACTCTAGGAGTAGAAGTCATGCACACTGCAAGCTGCATAGTTCTCCAAAATCTGAATGGCAGAACGTCAAAAGCTGTTCATTTCCCTGGAGTCAACTCTAGCAGTAATAGTCACGCATACTGGAAAGACCATTCCTTTACGATATTTGAGCCACAGGGCGACGAAAGCTGTTCATTTTCCTGCAATCCGCTCTTGGAGTAGTAGTCACCCATACTGGATGGTGCATTGTTCTACGATATTTGAATGACAGAACCGCAAAAGCTGTTAATTTACCTGGAATCCGCTCTAGGAGCAGCAGTCATGCATCCTGGAAGGTAAATGATAATTCTGCAAGTGATGTTTATATTCCTGGTATGCGTCGTAGGGAGAGTAGTCATGCATACTGAGAGGCGCATTGTTCTACGATATTTGAATGACAGAACACCAACAGCTGTTCATTTCCGTGGAATCCGTTCTAGTAGCAGTAGTCATGCATGCTGACAGGTGCATTGTTGTACCATACTCGAATGACAGAACCGCAAAAGCTCTTCATTTACCTGGAATCCACCCTAGTAGTAGTAGTCGTGCATGCTGGCAGGTGCATTGTTCTACGATATCTGAATGACAGGACATCAAAAGCTGTTCATTTACCTGGAATCGGCTCTAGGAGTAGTAGGTATGCTTGCTGGAAGATGCATTGTGGTACGATATTTGAATGACAGAACGGCAAAAGTTGTACATTTGCCTGGAATCCACTCTAAGAGTAGTAGTCACGCATAGTGGAAGGTGCATTGTTCTACGATATCTGAAGTATAGAACGACCAAAGCGGTTCGTTTTCCAGGAATCCGCTCTAGGAGGGGTAGTCATGGGTACTGGAAGGTGGATTATTCTAGGATAGTCGTATGACAGTTCCCCAAGCGATGTTTATTTGCCTGTAATCCGTCGTAGGGAGAGTAGTCCTGACTGCTGGAAGATATATGGTTGTATGATATTGGAATGCGACTTCGACAATTGATGTTTATGAACCTGGAATTCAGATTAGCTGGTTTTATCATGGTTTTATTTAAATGCAGGATTCTGTCGTATTTGAATGCTTGTTCGACTGGGTTTGTTCGCGTATAAGGTTTACTGATTTAGTAGCTTTAACGGGCTGGATAAGATATTGGTATGCATGCAATTGGTAAAGTTTTTGCCGGTTATCTCGTGGTTGAAATGCATTATTGAATCAGAATGCGTGTTGGAAAGTTATATTGTTCGTGTTTATGTGTATAAGTTGGTAGCTTCGATATATGAATGATGATGAAAGTTTGATGTTTAATGTTTTTGGCGGTGATATACATATAATAAGTGAATACACCTCCGGCTGCTTGTATCAGTCGAATATCGGTTGCTTTGAATCAAAAGTACTTTACTATAATCTTGTTATTTGAAACGTACTAAATGACTATCGACACATCTTCCCATGTTTTTTTACATTATGGTGCAGTGATGATTGCACTCCGAAACAAACGTAGAATGATTTCTAGTGTTAGGAGAACATTTTTGCTGCGGGTTGTGTTCACTTTTTTTCGGTATTTTAATTGATGAATTCAAAAACTAATGCTGTGATGCAAAGAGACAAGTTTAATGTAACGTTTCACTGCTGGTCTTGTGCAGACATCTCATCTTCTGCAATTTATATTTTTGATGAAGTTTTTATATCAATAAGTTGACCAAGTTTATAAACCGTCATGCTGAAGTGCACGTCCCTGTTGACTCCGTACAACGCAACAAGTATTCCCCAGACAGGAATGCTTGAAAATCGAATGATTGTTGAATACACACCAGTTTAGATTTTTCTGCTATTATATTGACACGCCTTCAGTAGGTTTTTCATGAGCATGAGTATTTGCAACTTATGATTAGAGGATGATATTTAGGATGCAATGTATCACTTATTTTGTGTGAAAAGTACTATATGATTGTATTTCGAAATATTCAGTATTGTGAAGTTCATGGATAGTTCGTACGATACTTCTGTTTGTATACTAGTTTAAAATAATGGTTTTTAATCCAGTCATGTTAACAGTCGATCACTCGTAGTAATAGACTATAGTCAAGTAAGATAACATGCAAGTCTATGATAAGCTTCAAATCGAAGGTTCCCTTCCAGGTTAATATTTTAAATTATAAGGATGCTGAATATGGTTAAGATTCATGTTAATATTCTCTTTTCTTGATATACTCGGTTATAATAGTTTTCATTTCGAGTACAAATAAGAATAATATGAAAAAGAAATAATTGAGATTGTCGTAACGTCTGGCTGATGGTAACGGAGACGTTTGTAAAGTTGCTCTTGAGAAACCTTAAATCAAAAGAAGAGTTTTATGTAAGAATATCGTTTTTTTGTGTAACATCATAGTCCATACTATGGATCATGGTAGTTATTTATGTTTTGTTATGTAGAAAGCTTCCTCTAGAAACTTGAGACTGCTCGCTTTCAATAGATTATAAAAGTGAAAGGTATTGCAATGACGAAATAGTGCTTTCGTACGCCTTTCATTAGTCATACAGTAAATCTTGGATAGGAACTGGCAGTAATAATTAAGCAACCTTAGTAATTTCTATGGTTGATGGCATTCCATAGACTGTATTTCGTTTATGTGGCATACATCTCAGTAGCAAATTCTAAGAATATCTAAGTAAAGTTCAAGTTCTACCTGCTTGATAATTTAGCATTTATATACTTCCAATTTGAAACTCTATCTGCACACGAATGGGAAAAACTGATGACTCATCTTTGTCTAGATACAATCAACGAAGTCCCCAAGCCTGTACTAAATAGATAGATATATTAGTGTCATAAAAACTGCGGGAAGGCACTCAGGAGAATCAGGGTCATCTCCAACAGCAGACTGTTCTGATTGTGTCTGAAAAAACGCTAGTGCTATGGCAGTTGTACAGCTGTCTGAAAATAATTTATAGGGAGTGAATATTAGATACCTTGTTCGAACTCATTTTCAGACGAATTAGCGTATCTTTCATTCGCAGTAGAAATTTTGATAATTGATTTCCAATCAATACTTTGGATGTGAAGAGTCGGAGGATTAGTTTCGCCTTGTGATGGACGATTAAGATCACTTTTCAATTGTTTCAATTGTTTCATCCAACGATCGATATCAGTTTCCACAAAGCTTTCTGATTCTTGCTGTTCTTTGCATTCTTTTGTAAGCTGATCAACTTTTTGTTGTACTTGATCATATTCCAATTTTCTACTAAACAAGCGTTCTACACTTGCATGCGCTGCCTTGGCTGCTTGCGAAACACACTCGATTGTTTTTGTTTTCCATTCATCAATTTGTTTTGACAACTGAAGAGCAGTCCCTGTGCTTGAAGACTTCGATGCGCGATTACTCGCGATTTGTAGTTCTTGTAAAAGATTATCGCGAAGATCAGAGACATTATATATATCTGCGCTAAGTTTATCACGATGCTCATTGAAGTGCTTACGACACATATCTTTCAAACAACCTTTACACGATGTAATGGCAATGACTTGTTTTGGTGAACACATATCACACATATCCTTTGTTGCGCTATGATTCATATTTTTAGCCATCATAAAACTTCCTTGTTGTTTAATTTGAGCAAATCTTACTAAAAGATAATAAATTGATTTTACCTGTAACTTAAATAAACCATCATGTTACATATCAGACAAAGGCTAGCGAATAAGCTATGGATTACTGTCAATGATGTACGCAGTCTCTATCACAATTGATCATGATTACCACCGTTGATAATGACCTTAAAACTTGTGTGTTAACATATTTATTACTAATGTGTACAGCATAGAGATAGAGAAATGCACGCTGATCACATAACTACAGGGGGTGAACGATGACTGACAACAACTAGATGAGATCTATATTATCTTGAAGCCTCATATTTTTGAATACAAACAATTTTGTCGGTACACTAGTTTCTGAGGATATATTAAATGTTTCAACTATCTAAAATATTGCCGTCACCAAAATGTATCAAGCATTTCTAGAGTTATAGTAATTTCCTCTCCAACTATCGATGTTGAAAAGAAATATCTATTCTTTTTTTTGGGATGATAACTTCCAGACATAAAGCTTGTGCATAAGTGACATAGCATATTCATGATCAATGTTGTGGTACCGATAACTCAAAGGCAGCTATGTTACGATGACTGATCTTACAGTTTCGATCATGCGATACTTCATACTAATGTTATGCAGATTGGGTCTCGATATGTTAAGAGTTAGTCGTGCATACAATAGAAAGTAGAAAAGGTTTCTTTAAACACAGTTCTTCTAGTTTCAATACTTGATAAACGCACATAGTACTTATCACACTGTTCGTTAAAATATAGCAATTAGAAACACTTCACATCCATCACCGACGTATTTTTGCTGAATTATAGATCAAATAATGATTGTGATGTTTTTGTTTATGTAAAAGTATTGACATGTATCGATCAAAGGGCACACCATTCATTTTCATTCTGTCCTGCTGCCAGTGGTGTAGTCAGAAATTTCTGAGTCATGGGCTGTTTCCCTGCTAAATGGTTCTGTGGGGTGAGCACTAATACATATCGAAAAGCCAATTGGGCTACAATTTATTTTCGATATGTATTGCCATTGTGAAACCGACGTATACTGAAGGAAAACTCGTCACTATTAATTAGATCATAATAAGAGACATTGTTGTACAATAACACCATGTGTCTTCAAACATATATGTGTATCAGAATCTTTCGGTATTGGGCAATTGCCCAATGGCCATCCCCCTGGCTACGCCACTGTCTGCTGCCCACCACGACAGAAAAGGTTGTGCTGTGTTCATCTCTGATTTGAATACATATGTTATCCTACACAAAGAGTATCTTCCACGCTGACATATTACTACAACTATTTAGGTTCTTCTGCATAAAAGGATATTGAGACAGTGCTTTCACGCTCTGACGTAAATGCCTCTGTCTTCCCTCCCAGTTAACCTTATACGTTTGACTAAAAAATATTGATAACTATTTGTAAGTTCAAGAATTCAATAAATGGTTTCAGTTATTTTTAATAGGTGGTAAAAATAGAAGTTCCAAAGCTACTTTTTATAACTCTACTAGATTCATGCGGCTTACATTTATGAAATGTTCTATCCTTAAATATGACACGAATTCATATGTGAAAATTCGTATTAGAGTAAAAGTTTGATTGAAAAAATGCTGAAACTTACATAAGTCTTGAGTTCCTATTGAAAGATGATACTATAAAGTCTAATTGACAAAAATAACGGTAGCTGCTTATCGCGCAATAATTTTGTTATCAACTGAAAACAAGTTTATCTTGGAAGAATTCGGGATACATGGTAAAATATGGCCACTTGAGAAAGATCAAAAAAAAATCATCGTGGTGTTTTCTTCTTTTCATTCAATGTATCGTTCGCACCCTTTTAACATTTCTGGTATCAATAGTAAGTTACTTAAATAGAAGCAAAAGACATCGCGCATCAAATTTAATAGATTCATAATAGATAGCAGCCGATTACTCCTATAGATGACACTGCATGTGAGTTTATTTAAAAATCACGTGTTCAGTTGAATTCTCTACTAAATTTTCAATCTATTAACTTGCTCACACAGAAATCAAACAAAGACATCAGTCACATATAATAATCACATATACTGATGAAGTGCAGATGCCTATAAAATCTATATTCCCAAACGTCTCTTATTCAATCTTTTGAATGAAATTCACAGAAGACAGATTTTTCTCCGCACACTGCTATTTGTTTTAGCACAATCGACAACAATTATTATATCGGAATTATACGTCTTTTGTTACTTAGCGAATCTATAAGATAAATATTGTACATTTTCAAAATATAGAAAAATCATAATATCAATCATTCATATTTTTTTCATTATTAAACTAAACAGAAGTTCTCATAATTTTTACACTAAAAACAAAAAACATTCCGAGATTATAGAAAAAGGCAGTTCGAAAATTCTGGCCTCGGATTCGTCCTATATTTCCTATATTTAAAAAAATTCCTGTTTTTTCTCCTATATTTCGATGAATTTTCCTGTATTTCCTATAAAAATGAAAAAAAGTAGAAAATTGCTAAAAACGCTCTTGTTTTAGTATAATTTTCGTGTTTTTTAAACAAATCTATTCGATAATTATTGATTCTTTTGTATTCTTAGAAGTTTTTTTTACAGAGACTCTATTTTATTTACAATTTCTTTTCACATTATCAAACGGACTAAATGAAAATAACTGACTATTTTAAGTAAAGATTTTCAAACAAAGTAAAAATAGTCTTTATAAATAGTTGTGTGTTTTTTAAAAACTGTTATTGTTGTCTATCATATACAGTTACGTAAATGGTTTTGTTCAAGCGTAACGCTGTGACCTTTTTTGACACACTTTGTTTTTCATTATCTTGGAAATTGTGTGAGTTAGAAAGTTCGTTCAAACGTGATTTGATGCAACTTGTTATGATATGTTTATGCCATAAAATGGCCATTTTTGGATTAAGTCTCTGGGTTATAGAGAGGAGTTTTGGTTGCTTGACTGTGACATGAAAAGACCCTTTTCTTCAGGGCCACTAATAATATGCAGTTTCTTCTGCAACTATTTCTCCAGATGAAACACTTCTCGAGTTAGTTTTGTAGTGCTTTTTGACCAGGCTTTAAAACACTAAGATCGTTTTCTCCAAGCTATTTTTGCTTAGATAAAAAGTGCAAGAAAACAACGTGACATTTTTAGTAACGCTGAGGTACAATTTTTCTTCGCCAATTTTGAAGCACTTAACATGATCAGAGTTATTTGATTTTTATTAGTAATAGCCTTTTCTTTGTAACTAATCGTTATATACAAAAACGAAATTGACACATCTGTATGGAAGCTCATAAACGGTAAATTGAGTTAGAAAGTGTATAAGACTTGACATTTTCCTTAGCTACGAAAGTCAAAACAAAATAGACCAGCTTGTAGAGACTGAAATTCTACAACTAACGATCCGTCATTGATATTTTTTGAAAACATTTCTCGGTTAAAAAAGTCAAAATGCGATTTTTGAAAATTTTCATACTCGGTGTGAGTGAGTATAAGTTGATGTGAGTATAAACACAAAACAAGCCTTTACCCACACCCTGATTTATTTTGTATTAGTTTATTAATATGTAAATAAACATATTTCGATTGAATTTAATTGTGTCTGACTCATTTAATTTAATTTAAGAAAGAATTAAAATGAAATATTGATAAAAATTTCGTGCATATGTTAAGTTGATGCAGGAAAAGTTTAAAAGAACGTTTAATTCGAATTTAAACAACGAATTTTCAATATCCTATTTTTTTCTGATTTTTTACACCTTTTCCTGTATTTTTAAAAAGTTTGATCCTGTGCTAATTCCTACATTTTCAAAAACTTGCAATCTGAGGCCAGGAAAATTCTATAGCGATTCAATCAAATAGTTTACAGAATTCATCGAACGAAATTTTTCCATCACCACTTGCATCTAATGCTCTAACAGTAGCTTCGATTTCAGCTCGACTTAAATGTCTACCCATACGTAACAATATATGATTGAGTTCATCTGCTGTTATGTAACCGTTGTCGTCTTCATCAAAATTTTCAAATGCTGTATGTAGCTCTTGTTTGGAATGCTTTTTAAAATAGGATGCACCCATAACTGTTTTAAACTCATTAAAATCAATTTCACCACTATGATCCGTGTCCATTTGAGATAGTAATTTTGTTACTTCATGATCATTAACTTTGATATTCAATGCATGAAGCACACGTTTTAGTTCTGATTTTGATATTTTACCTGAATGATCTAAAAGAAAAAATAAAGAGAACCGATGATTCATAATTCTAATCAAACATTTTCTTGCATACCCGTATCGAACAGATCGAAAGCGTCACGCAATTCACGTTCTTGACTTGCTGTTAAATGAGACATGTGATAAAAAGAAGCAAAAATATCTAACAATAGAAATTTGCATCAGTGAAATTCTTTGTTGCTTTCTGCCACAACCTTGACGGTCATTCGTGAAAGCTTTAATTTTATTTCTCTATATAGTGTTCGCTAGCATAGAAAAAAACTGTTCCACTTACTCGTACCGATAAAGAAAGGAAATGAGAGGCGCTTGTCGTTCTTCCGAGAAAAGTGTCTTAATGTACACTGAAATACGATGAGTGTAATCTTTTCTTGTGTTCTTTTAAACAAAATAAAAATGAATTCCCTCTAGATAAAAATTTGCGTAGCTGGGATTCTGTTGTTTTTTCTTCAATAATTATACTTTCAACGCATTCCAGTGATGAATTGATTCATTCAATCTAAATATTTACCTTCAAGATACGAAAAAGAGTCTTCGCTAAGTGAGTGAGTTTTTACGTAATACGATTTGTTATTTTTCAATCTTTTAGAATTGACTACTTGATGAATTCTTAATACGACAATAAAGTAAAACTAGATGGTATTCGAATTTCAGACGATTACGAAATTTAGGTGCAAAGTAAATAACCCGGACTTTTCGGACAAATCGAGAATTAAGTCAAAACCAATGATCGACTCAATAACTGATTAGAATCATTCATGTAGTTCAAGACTTTCGCATATTTTTCTTTTAAACCACTTTCAACTGAACTGATGATAGAAATTTCAAACGCTGCTGAAGTAATCATAATATAATTCATCACTGGAAAAACGCCTTTCGAGCTTATCGACATATTGATTTTCTGTGAATCTTGCAATTTCTTATGTAGAATGACACTGGAACTAATTTTATTGCGAAAACCTATGTTTGAGGTTCATACAGATACATTTTTCTTAGCTGATTGTTAATGTTGTAGTTCAGTAAATCGAATGGCAACCACTCTTTACTAAACTTGGCAAACTTTTCTTATCCGCCGTAACTTAATGACTCGATAAGATAGATATTGTGTATTTCTAAAATTCACAAAATCGTTTTTCTCCATCAGGTAATTTAACGAGTAATAAAATGAATCATTCACATAAAATTCTGCTTTTTTAATCACACAAAAAACAACACCGAAAACTAACTCATTCTTACACAAAAAAACATTCCAAAGTTACCGAAAATGTCAGGTTGAACAATTCAATCAAATAGTTTACAAAATTCATCAAACGAAATTTTTCCATCGCCACTTTTATCTAATGATTTAACAATAGCTTCGATTTCAGCTCGACTTAAATGTCTACCCATACGTGACAATATATGATCGAGTTCATTTCCTGTTATGTAACCGTTGCTGTCTTCATCAAATTTTTTAAATGCTGCTTGTAATTCTTGTTTGGAACATCTTTTAAAATAGGATGCACCCATAACTGTTTTAAATTCATTAAAATCAATTTCGCCACTATGATCCTTGTCCATTTGAGATAATAACATTTTTACTTCATGATCATTAGCTTTGATATTCAATGCATGAAGCACATGTTTCAGTTCTAACTGTGATATTTTACCTGAATGATCTAAAAGAAAAAGTAAAGAGAACCGATGATTCATAATTCTAATCAAACATTTTCTTGCATACCCGTATCGAACAGATCGAAAGCGTCACGCAATTCACGTTCTTGACCTGCTGTTAATTGAGCCATGCGATGAGAAGAAGAGTAAAATATCTAAAAGAGAAATCTTTATTGATAAAATGTTTTCTTGCCTTCTACCATAACCTTGCCGTCCGCTCGTATATGCTTTTAACTTCTATTTCTGTATTCTGTTTGTTGGCATAGAAGAAAAAACTATTCCACCAACCCCACTCGAGAAGGACAGAAAAAAATGAGGGTCGCTCATCATTCCTGCGAGAAAAGAACGTGTCAATGTGTGATGAAATAAGACAAATACAATCGTTTTCTCTTCTTTTTTTCAACAGAATTACAAAAAAATTCTCTCGAGATAAAAATAGTTTAGTCAGCATACTTTTATTTTTGGCAATTATGCTACTTCCAACGCATTCAAGATAAGCAAAAGACTGCGCGTTAAGTAAATGAGTTTTCATATAATATGATTTCTTATTTTTCAATCGATTACTTGACCAAATTCATAATATGTCAATGTAGTAAAACTAGATGGTATTCGAATGTGAGATCATCGGTTCAGGAAAGCTGTCCTGTGCTAATCTCTGCTTCAAATTCGTGTATTATTCTGAACAAAAGTATTATGCTTTTTTCTGTGAGTCTTGTAATTTCTTATGTAGAATGACACTGGAACTAAGTTTATTTCAAAAACCCGTATGTGAGGCTCATAGAAGAGAGATTTTTCTCAGCTGATTGTTAATGTTGTAATTCAGTAAATCTATTGCGTAACAAAATAAATCATGCATATGAAATTCTCTTTTGGTTTAATCGGAAAAACAACATAGAAAACTAATTTATGACACAAAATTTTCTTTTCATATTTAAACGAAAAAGAGATTCTCATAATTCTTAAAATAGAAACACAAAATATTTCAAGATGATACAAAATGTGACTTCGAAAATTTTATAACTCTTCAATCAAATACTTGACTGAATTTCTCAAATGAAAATTTTCCATCACTATCTGTAGCCAATGATTTAACAAATGATTGAGTTCATTTGCTGTTATATATTCACAACCGTCTTCGTCAAATTTTTTAGATGCTGCGTGTAATTCTTGTTTCGAATATTTTTTAAAATAGAATGTACCCATAATTGTTTTAAACTCATCAAAATCAACTTCACCACTATGATCCGTGTCCATTTGAGATAATAATTTCTCTAATTCATGATCATTAACTTTAATATTTAATGCAGTGATTACATGTTTTAGCTCTGATTTTGATATACGACCCGAATGATCTAAAACCAGAAAACCACTGATGATTCCTAAATCTAAATCAAACATATTCTTGCATACCAGCATAGAAAGCTTCATGCAATTCACGTTCTTGACTTGGTGTTAAATGAGCCGCGGGATAAAAGAAAAGAGTAAAATATTTAAACGAGAAATCTTTATTTGCAAAATGTTTTGTTGTCTTCTACCATAACCTTCACGTCCGCTCGTATACGCTTTAAGTTTTATTTTTCTGTATTCCGTTCGTTGACATAGAAGAAAATCCATACCGACAAACAAGGAAAAAATGAGGCTATCGCATCGTTCTTGTGAGAAAAGAACATGACAATGCGTATTGAAATAAGATGCATACAATCTTTTTCTTGTGGCTTTTTCAAACAGAATTGCGAAAGAAATTCTCTTGAGATAAAAAAAAAAGATTCCTCGCTAGGTAAATGAGTTTTAATATAATATAACTTCTGTGTTCTACTATCTACGAATATCTACATTCACAGACGCATGCTGATAGTAACCATGTAGCAACGCGGTTTTCTTTTCTGCTAAAGTAGACTGATATTTCCAGTATTGTTCCATCCTGTAGAATCGATTGCTTGATGAATTCTTAAGGTGCCAATAAAGTAAAATGGCGACGTGACACACACTATAATATGAAAGAATTTTTACTTCCATCCGTTGTTAAAAGATATATGTTTCTCTCTAGATATTTTTTTATTTTTATAATAAAACAAAAAAAATGAGCACATTTACTATTGCTGATTGTTACTATGAAAAATAAAAATGGTTCTGAAGTTTTCTATTCAATATCTTCATTAAATTTTTGTCTATTGCAAATCCATAACCATAAATATGAAAGTACGATAGAACTGGAAGCTCCGATTGTCGATGAAACAAGGCATGTGATCGGCCATTCTTGCCACCAACAGTCCCAATCTAATGGAATTGGTATTGCACCTAGCCATGCACCCAACATTGTTCCCCAAACTAAATTTCTCATGTAGAAAAATTTTCTCGATGTTGAAATTAATAAATAAAATTCATTTCGAAATAGGAAATTATAAATTTCATTTAAATCTCCTTTTAAACTAATAATAACTGGTGTAAAACCAATCAAAACAATATAAATACTGAATCCTAATGTTCGTATCATGTCGCTGAATAATGGTGCGCCCATTAAAACACTGACACCATAGGCAATCGCAATTAATTGTAAATAGCAAACTCCTATCGGTAGTTTCATCTAAAAACAAATTATATTGAATTAAATTTTCTTTTCTCTTTTCACACTCGCATTGTAATTCGTTTCAAATTATCTAATGCACAACAAAAAAAAATTCAATTGTGAAAATGAAACGAAATATTGAAACAGAAAACAAAACATCAGTCCTAAAGAATAACCACATATCTATTTAGATATATACATATAACTTTGAATAAAGAGAAGAAGAAGAAGAAAAGGTAATTTCGAAAGAGCAAAATAAAAAGAAATTTAAAATTAATTTATCAAGTCATTGGTGACCGTTCTAACGAATCTTCATTGCTGGGATCTTTTTGGCGATTATTCATATTATCGACTTTATAACGACGACGTCTGTAGTAGAAGAAGAACAAAGACATAAATCAAATATTTTTATTAGATAATTACCTTCCATTTTGACTGGGTATACCAGGGGGTGGTTTAGGTAAATGACCTATAGAAGAACTAGACACATCATCCGGTATCAAATTATTCACTGATAATAATGGCTGATGTGATTGATAGTCTAGAGGTCCATTGTCAAACATACTACCAACCATGTTTGGTGCTATATTACTAGTATAATAAGATGTGGACGGATATAATGATGATGTTGGTTGTTGCTGATGATAAACGGGATGAGCAATTGGTGAATCTAATAGATCTTTAGAAGATTTATTACGTTGCATCTGTTCGGATAGGCTTGTAGAATAATTTGGTCTTTCTTGTGAAGTTGCAGTGGACGGAATAGATGATGATTGTTGAAAGGTAGTCGATCGTCGAGACGAATCATTATTATTATTATTATTATTATTATTATTGTTGTTGTTGTTGTTTGGGGAACCATTTTTTTCGTAGAACATTATTTTTTTTTGAAAATCATCACCACGATGAACATCAAATGTTGATAATGATTTTCTAGTGCCATTTGAAAAACGTTGTTGATCACCTTTTGATTCATCATTATATTCATAATATCGTGAATTAATGATTGGACTATCGTCATTATGATCTAGATTTAAACGAATATAAATGTAAAATACGAAATTATTCTCTAGCAAAATAGATCGATTCACTCATGCAGAAATGTGTACTTGAACAATATTGATGATGATGATGATAATGAAGAGGAGAAAATGGGAATAAATAAATATACGTGCAAAAATAAGTCGCCCGTTACTACAGCATGCAAATGTTCGTCAGCGCATGCATTTTCCTTACTTGAACTATATAGAGTTTTTGATGGTGTATATCGTTGTGTAAAACTTTGTTTAACAGCTGATACTGTAGGAGACTTTACTGCTGTTGACTTTTGAAATGATGGGCCCGTTGATTGCATTGAATAATTTACATGATTATCTTGACCAAACGAACGATTGAGTTGTTCAGTAGATTTCGCTATGAAACGTGTTCCATGAAGTCGAGTAGGAAGAAAATTATATCTACGAATTCTATTTTGTTGTTCATCAACATATAACGGTGACGGGGATTTCGATGAGCCTGATGAAAAAATATTAGTACGGTGATCATTTTTCGATGATTGCTTTTCTCCTAGAACTACGGATGAGTCCCGATTTTTTTTCATCATCATCAATATTGTTGCATTATTGGGACTAGATTGAACTGAAGAATTTATAAATTTCGATGAAAATATATTTCTAGAAAAAGAATCATTGGTGAGATCTGATTGCCTACTCGGTTGTGAAAAATTTTGTTCGTTCATTCTTCTTTTGGCTTTTTCACGATCATCTTCTTCGTCGTCATCAACATCACCATAATGTCCATCTTCATCATCGGACAGTCGATTTTTAATCACATAATTATTATTATTATTATTATTATTTCGAACAAGTGAAATATTTGTTGCACTATCGACTGTTCGATAATTTTCAAATGGAAGAGTTTCAGTTAATGGTCGTTCATTTGATCGAAGAACTGATTCTTTTTCTATAGGAAAAAGAAAATTGAAATTTATTCATTGTTAAAAATAATTTACTTTTATTCTCTTTTTCATCATAACTGTTCAATGTGCCTTTAGTTGAATTTTCATCGACACCTCTGAATAGTGGCCGATGATACTGTTGTTGTTGTCGACCGTCATTGCCGTTACTATTCAAATTCGTACCTTGAACGATTGGATATTGAAGATTGTTAACTGTTGTTGCCGATTGACTGTTCATATTGGACGGACTAAGTGGATTATTCACAGGAGCTAAAGACAATGAAGATGCTGCTGGATGATATTGTGATGGTTCATGAGTCGTACTGGATAAAATTTAAAAAGTAAATAACATTTTTCTTGTCTTCATTGTTCCTACCTTTGAAGTTTCTCTTGTGCATCTTCCCATTTTGCACTATGCTGATTATCACTGCCCTCTTCATCAATATTCTCACCAAGTGATATAACCCATTGTGACATGATTGTTTGTGGTCCAAGTTTAATGGCAAATGTTCCAGCTGGAACTGACATGGCTTCGCTATCACCTCCGCGTGTCATCGTTGATCGTCCTGGTATTGCTACATCACTGCGACTGGTTGTTGTTGTTGTTGTTGTTGTTGTTGTTCGAGCTGCACGTGGTGTTTTTGGTGGTTTCCCACGTTCTAAACCACCGGTTGATGTTGACATGATAGCTAATGGTGATGGTGATTCATCAAAAAGACCTATGTCCGATGCTTTCAATGGATTCGAACGATTTTGCGTACCATTTTTTCCTTTGCCTGAATCGGAATGTGATGCACTACCGGGCGATTCTTCTTTGCCGATTAATCTATTGGTTGGCGCTAAAGGTTCACCTGTAATTGATTTTGATGCATTTGAACGCTTCAAACGTTGTGTTAATTCGGTCATTTGAGCTGTTGTAAGAGCAGGACGGGGTTGCTTTTTCGAAAGCGAAAGTTCTTTGTCCGTTGTATTTGTTGTTTGAGCAGGTGTAACAGATCGTCGTGTACTACGATCCAGACTTTTTTGAGCAGTTCGACGTGGCGAATGATCAGATACAACATTGGTTTGTTTCGGTGATTTCAAGCGTTCATCAAGTGCATCATTTTCCGTAGATTGCTGACGCGCATTCGTTGTTGAACATGCGCCACCTGGAGGAGCTGTCATAACAGCTTTTGTCGCTTCACTAAAAAAATAAAATAAAGAATTTATTATTTTCTTCTCAAATGAAAACATACACAGAATTTTTATTATGGATATTTGATAGAGCTTGTTGCTGTAGTTGAAGAGGAGCAGGCAGAATCACAGGAATAGTATTAATTTCATCTTCGATACCGTTACCTTCTCGTTCCCAATCGAATGAATCCGATTCTTTATAACCGCGACGTGTTATGGCTGTGCGAAATAGATTTTGCAATAAATCATAATCAGGTTTATCTTCATAATTTAAACTTTGAACATGCTCAAGAAATTGCTAAAGCAAACAAAAAAGAAAAGTAGAGCCTTGCAGTTCTTTTTTTGATGAACAATCATCTAGTTACTTTAAATTCTGATGGAAGACTTTTTAAAAACAATGTATGATCATATTTATCTTTCATTTGTCCAACTTGTTCTTTATCTTTAATTCTTCTCCAAGGTAATTGTCCTGTGATAAATTCAACGAGCATATAAAATAAACTCCATAGATCATCATGTCGACCCATTTCCTGAAAACAAAAATGATTGAGGATTAAATATTTTGTTTTTAAATTTCTAACTTTATTTTTATGTGCATTGATCGAAGCATATCTAACAGTACCACGAAAGCCTGCTTGTGGTCGTGCTGCTCGAACACCACCTTCGGCATTCGTATATTTTCTAGCGAGACCAAAATCTAACATAAAAACTTTTCGACATGTGCTCGGTAAATGTCCCATAGAAAAATTCGACGGCTTAACATCACGATGAAGAAACCCAATTGAATGTATAGACTGAATAGCCTGAAGAATTTGTAAACTAATACGTAATGATGTTGATAAAGTAAAACATTGTCTTGTTTGACCACGACGTAGTTCAGCTAAATTTTTTCCTTGTAATGTCATGACAACATAATTATACAACTCATTTGTCCCACCGCCAAGAAATTTGCACACATGATCTTTGCCTTGTAGACGACGTAAAACTGTTACTTCCATTTTAAGAACTTGTTTTGGCTGTTTAGCCGATTCTAATTTAAGTGCTACATTCTCTTTAAGGACAGTATCAAATGCTTCATAGATCTGACCAAAGCCGCCACCACCTATTTTACTGGTCTAAATTTGATTAAAAAAAAAATGAAAATCGTATTTTTTCAGTCTCTCTGAAAAATATTAAACTTACGACTTTCCATCGTTCTCGAACAATATTTTCCGGTTGAAGAAGATCTGCTTCGGACATGTTGAATATCACCGTACATACTGATTGAAATAATTATTTATTGAGGACAACATATGTACACAAAGAGATCTAAAAATCACAAACAACAAATTGTTACTTGAACATAGGATAAAAAAAAAGAAAAAGGTCGTCATTCTCTCTCTCTCTCTCTCGCGTTCTATTTAACACGACGATTACTCTCGTTATGTAACTCAGCTTTGACGATATATGTTTCTTTCATGGATCAAATCTTGATGAACCTCATCCTGTAAGGTTTTTTTATTAAATAAATATATATATATATATATATATACATTTGATACTTTTAGTACATAGGCTGCTGATTGATATTGTCTATTTACCATGCATGAATTAAATGTTCGTTAAACATATATATATATATATTCATGCATTCGTTGACATAGTTTCATTTTTTTTTCTTCACCGGAAGAAAGCAAGAAGCAAGCAAATCGATCTTGGTATTTTTTGCCTTCAAAAAATAAAAAAAAACCAGAATAGAAGACTTACTATTTTTTATTTCTCCTATTTCTTACTAAGTGTCATTGATGATGGCAGGAAGAAACATATGCCCATAACTTATCTATAGAAAAACTCTAAAACAAGGACAGTCATCATTAAATTACAAAGAAACAAAGACGACGCACGAATAAAGAATAGTTTGTCCGATTAAAACGATACATCTAGTAGTAATGACCAGACGAGAGAGTAAACGATGAATTGCGCGTATATTGTATGTTTTTTTTCTTCACTCAATTCTCTCTCTCTCTCTCCCTCTTTCTATCCATCGCTCTATTTATATATGTTGTTCATCGTTTCGTTCGTCGTTTCTTTCTGTCTGAGTAGTGACAAATTCTAACGAAAAACTAAAAACTGCTCAGTATAAATTGCGTTTCGTTTTGACATCGTAAAAAGCCGTCAAGAAAATAATCAATTCTATCGTATTGTTCACAATAACAAAAACGACACACGCAGACATAAAAATACTTGAATAATATGGAGTTAAATTTGAAGAAAAAAAATCCAACCTTGAATGTGTTCTCTCTTCCTCAAAATGATGATCACGTTGTTGGTTTTCTTTTTTCTTCTCCTTACACATTCACGATTAGTAGTCTACCATGTTTTCTTAGAGAATAATTGAAAAAGAAAAAAAACGTCGACACCAGGATATACTCAACTGAAAAAAAAACTCATCATGAGAAAATTTTTATTGAGCAGAAAAGATAATAATAATCTATGATGATTTTAACAAACATTCTTCTCATAATCAACGACTTCCATGGAATGTCACAGCGAACATGTATATACATATATACTTATCAGTAGACAATAGCGCTCATATGTTATGATTCGTCATTTATTTAAACGAATAAAAAACCACTTTACATGGTGATAAGCAGCTGTTTACTTTTTGTTGATTAAAAACTTACCTACTATGTAGAAGGACACGGAATTTTCATCATATCTAAGTTGAGTCACGAAAAACAAGGAGTTTCGCCGACGCAACATAACGAAATGGGGGTGGTCATAGCTACAAAACATGTTTATTCAAGTCCATTAGAGGTCGTATCAGGTCGTTTTTAATGGACATAAAACATATTTCAGCTTCTGTTTCTTTCCGAATTTATTCAAACCAGAAAGGAGATGTTGGCTAGAAAAATCAGTTTTGCTCTGTAAAGTGTCGAGAAAAAACCGTAGACGTTACGAAATCAAATAGACCTTGAAGACCTAAAAGCAATTATTCTGCGTGTTAAAAACTACTTGTAGCAAATTAGTTTAGCATCTTATTGAAGCCTAAATAATATTTTATAATAAAAAAACAGTATCTATTGAGTAAGTCATTTTTTTAGCGTATCATGAATATATGAATAAAAAAATTTCTTTATCGATAATTTGATTTATTTGCTTTCTGCTACATACTGCCTTCAATAATTGATCATACAGATTTAACATATATTTCTTTCCGTGATAGGAGGCGGAAAGTCCACACAGTGATTTTGAAAAGAGAAATTTCTCTTCAGCATAAAAAGGAAAGAAACCTTCAAAATATTCCAAAAATAGAAATTTATTTTCAATATACAAAGGATGGCAGAACAGCTGGTTGAAAAGATAAATCCTTTTTCTACTAAAGTTGATACAATTCAATTAGAAGAGTATCGTGAAGAGCTTGGATATATCTCATTAGCTCTGTCATCCTGCCAACTTAACCTGTTTGAAGTTCGCTCGATGTTTGTTTCTATTGTAATGAGTTTAATGCTCAACTAATTGTTTCCTGATATAGAAACGTTGATTCATCAGTTAGATTTTAGCAGTAAGCCAATCGTCTATTAGTCATTCGATATAAACGAGCGCCGCTCGGAGAAAATGCTTGTTTGTCTGGTTATTAGTCGCTCTTGATTACAGTAGTAGCAAATTATAGCTATTTTTTTTTGTGCATCTTTGATTGCATATTAATGTTGAGAAAACACAATATCTGTCACAAAGATTTGGCACGAAAGAAATAAGCTGTAATTTGTTTTTTTCTATCCTTGTATGCTTCATTGGAGCAACTATCGATTTGTAAGATCCGCACGCACATCAACAAACAAATGATGTAGAAATTTCCTCAACGTTCCTCGAACTAGACTAGGAATATTGACAAAATAATGCTACAAACTCTTGTAAAAACAAACCAAGTACTCAAAAGAAAATAGGCATATTTTGATTTGTTTTTGTCAAGAAACATAAAAGAAAAAATAATGGAATATTGTTGTAATTTTAAAATAGAATGCATATGGTACTGCGACGACACAAAATTTGCTTACCTATTAATATTAGTCATAAAAGATCTTTTTAAAAGCATCTGACGCAATACTTAATGGAAAATACTGTTCTTCAAGTGGAACGAAGAATTATTGAGAAAAGAGCTTCGAATTTCAAAACTGTCGGTCTACTGTAAAATTCGTGTTTATCACATTTGTCTGCGTTTCAGCAATAACAATTATCAAGAAAGAAATAGAAGCTACTAGTTAGTGTATTCATCTATGAAATATACCAAACTAAAGTCGTTCATCAATCATATTATTCTTATCCGAGTAGAATCAGCAAAGACTTTCAGTGAAATATGTTCAAATCGATTAAACGAGTCTATTCAATTCGTTGTCTGACTCAATAGATTTTCCTAACATGACCTTGATCAGAAGAAGAAAACGAATAGTCTGTTGCATTTCTTTTTGTACAATACCCTGCACGATTATATTAACAACATCAAAGGCAATCGGTGACCCTCAGGTCAGAAATTCTAGCTTCATCACAATGACGCGCGATGGAACGTGTGTTGTTACATTGCTGTGCAACCGATCTATTGACAATGCCCTTTCTACCTTCGAAAAATTTTGATAATCTGCTTCACACCCACATCTTTATCGAACAAAAAAAATTCATCATTGATAAACACGTCATATAGATTTATTCATCGCCGAACAGAAACTATACATACATTGAAGACAAAATCTACGTCACTCTGAATAATCATTCTGCATTAGATAGACAAAAAGTGTCACTACTCTTTATTCACCATCGAACAAGAGCCTACGCACATATTGACTGAATGACGTGTACAATGAAAGTATTTAAATACAGCAGAGAAGAAAAACAAAACACGCGTGCAATATACCTTTAGTAGAAGAAAAAAAAGACTTCAAGACTTATTTTACAAAAAATAAGGTGCGCAATGGCTGGATCATCTTCTCAACGTCTACAAGGCATTCTATCAATAACTGTGCTTAAGGCTAACAATTTGATTAAAAGTGATTTGATTGGTGACAACGATTGTTATGCAGTTATTTCACTGGAACCGCTTGCAAACGAATCGAAAGTCAAGACTGGAAATCAACCGAAACAAACTGAAACGTGTCAGAAGACACAAATTCGTGATGGTTGTAATCCGATTTTCAACGAAAAACTTCTATTTCCTGTAGCAGAAGGATTAGAAGCATTGTACGTTCAAGTTTGGGATAGCGACATTGGCAAAGATGACCTTTTAGGCTATGGAACATTGAGTTTGTTAGACGACGACCACGGTGGTCAATTTAATACGAGCTTAAACAAAGAATGGCTTCACGCTGTAACTATTTCTATGGACAATGCAAAACGTGGCAATGGTGGCACACTAGAGCTTGTTCTTCATTTCATTCCAGAGTCAGTTGCTGCGTATATGAGCAAAAAATTTAATGCTGCTCAAGCAGATTTGAAGAAAAAATTAACCGATCAAATTGTGTCAAAAATGACCGATGTCGCTACCGATCAAATTCGAGGATACGTCGGCATTAGTAATTAACGTTGCTTTGAATTTTTGATTTTTTTTAAACAATGTTGTTCGAAATCTTTGATAAAACCATAAATCTGCCCATTACTGTCAAGATCATAAATCATAGATTTTGACGCGATAGTATTTGAAAATAATCTACGGCATGCTAATGTTGTAGTTGTAGATATATCTCCGGAAAGACTCAGCATGAAATCCGTTTTCTCTCAAAACTGCATAATATAAATTTCTCATGAACCAACTTGACGACTTACTCTTACGAAATTAAGAAAATTTTCCTTCTTACCTTTTCTATATCTTAAAGGCAAATTCCGTCATTTTCTTTCAGATCAGCTTATTCTTCGTAACAAAAAATTGTTCATATTCTATTAATCAAGAAGAATTATCAGGCGCTAATTTACAGTAAAATACTATTAGTCGTATTAATGATAAGGTCACGAAAGCAGTGCCTAGATGAAGCTCATTAAACGATCAAAAAAGACTAACACTTGACCGCTAATATCATAGAGCAAGATATCTGCTATTGTTCATTGTATGCAATCGAACATTAGTAAAGAAAATCTTTCAGAAATTTCATTAATGACTACAAGTTGTACTACTACGATTGATACTATTTCTGGTATTATTCATACAGACTATTGTGTAAAAAAACATGGCTACATCGATTATATCCAGCTGTTGTTGGCAAGACACGATTCAAAGCTTGACATATGTATCGTCGATTATGCAATGAAACATAAAAATGACGTAACCTATGACGATCTATATTTCGTTTTACCTTGATGCAAATCAAAGCGTTAGACGTATCGATCCCCCCCGTAAAAGTAATAGCTATATTCCGAGATGATATTGGACACTATGTGACGATACTAGTCGTGCGGAATGACGTGAGCAGACGTGAGAAAGATCATTTACATTTTATTGAACCTGGTATAGCCATTATTTATGGATATATTTATTGAGCAATGAATAGAACAATTTATCAAATGTCATCGTTCGCAAGTATTTGTGAATGATACAGGAAAGAAAACACTGCTTTGCCAATAGGAAACATCGTGGCATATAGCTACCAAAACAGATAATCAATCATACGATAGAATGGAGCACCGAAGTTATAATATAAGGTGGTCGGGTACTAGAAACGTTTAGATGATAACGATTCATTCGATTAAGAATTTCTCTAGTAAATTAACTGCAACCACAACCTGCACTTCTCGCTTTTGTGAACATGCCGGAGGGGTTTTTATTATTCAATTTCGATTAATTACTCTAACTTTCATTTGCCGGAAATAAACATTGGCCAAAAATATGCATAAGAACGGTCATAGATGATTTTTCCTTGTGTACTTAAAATTATCAGTAAAATAACACTTATTTTTTTTTTGTTTCTCTCCAGAAGATTGAATCTAATTAAAGTAGATTGGTAGAATGCATTCTTCTATAGTTAAATATGCGTATTCGCTCTAGAATTGCAAATGAAAAACCATTATCAATTAACGTAATTGTACGTTCTAAAATACTGAAAATAGAAAAATATTTCTTTTAATTTTGTTAAGAGCATCTTATTTTCTCTCCATTAATTTACTGTCCTAATATTTCGTTAATGATCTCGAGTTCTGAAAGTCTGAAAAACATGTTCTAATACTATCCATTATTCACCTAGAAAAAACATGGAGCTTTATCAATCATAAGATAGTTATCGGTTGTTTTCGTGCTCTTTCCAATTTATTGTCGATAAACAATAATTGATTGCTATCAATAATAGTTCGGATCAATAATAGCGATATGTTTTTGCGCAAGTACATGATATAAATTAACCATTAATAGAGTTCGTCCCCGATTGAATACAAGTACTGAGCAGTTATTTTTCAGTAAAATATGTTTTCCTGGCATTGATCTTGTAATCTTTCTTTCCCACTGCTTGTCTTTCAACAGACAATTTTCGACGTCAGATATAGCATAGAGCAAAAATAAAGATAAATATGTTTTTAATATTGAAGATTATTATCTTAGAGCTTTTGTTGTTTATAGTAAAAGTGTTCTCTGACTCTGACATAAGACATGACTTTGTTTTTCATATCATCTCGTGATCATTACGTCGGTAGACTTTGAACGAAGAGAGTTAACAATATTAATTTAACAAATCCCATCTGCATGATATTTGACATTTTTTTTAATTTTCTTTGACTCATTAAATTCCACATAAGATTAATAATAGTGGATTATATTAAATATAGAATTTGTGTCTTTAAAATGATCTTTGACGGCTAATAATTCGAATTTCGCGATGGGAATCAAACATTTCTAAGTCTCTCAGGGCTATTACAGTGCAATTACGTGTCACATGAAAACAACGACGTACTTGATAAAACGGAAGAAAAAAAGAAGAAAAAAAATTCGAAGTAAAATCATTTGTTTACTCCTGTAATACGATAAATAAAAGACAAACATAAATGACATCCGGATAGTTCTCTTGAGATATTAACGTATATACAAAAGTGATTTCTTTATATACAATACAGAAACAAAGATTGTCATCCATCGATAATATATATATATGTCTGTATAAATCAGCTATCTCTAAGCATTCGATTGAAGTATAATAAAAGCAACTAGTGATATATAACCATTGATCCACCCTAAAAATAACATCAATTGAAGTCTGTTGTCAATTACAATATATGTGTGTTTGTGTGTGTGTGTGTCCATTCGAATAGATACAATTAGCAAAACGAGAGAGAGATGAACTGATGGATATGATCTCAATTAATACTATTAATAACAACATCGATGTTAAAACAGTCGAAGAAAAATGATTTCGATCTTAGTATTTTCTGTTTTGATAAAGGTTGCTATTCCATCATAAACAAGCACTATGTGCTTGATGGATATTTCAAAGGACGAACAGTCGCGTAAATAGATGTCAAAAAGATTGTTAAAGAAGAAGAACTAGTTTTCTTCTGTCTGTCTTCAAACATCAACATCATAGGCAGTCGTAGTGGAAATATTTCTCGGATAATTTTTTTGTTAGTGTTTCTACATATTCATACAGAAAGAAGCAAAAAGGGAAACGAGAACTTCCGACAAACAGGATACCAATAGTTAAGAAAAAGCTAGTATTATTCATTCATCTAACATACCACTCAACACGCATATATACACGAATATCGGTTAGGAAAAGACAAAGAAAAAAGAAAAAAAAAAAGAAGAAGGAATATGCGCGGAAGGGGAAAATTAGTTAATATATAATGATGATAGTTCGATGACGTCGACATGGTGCCTGGTACATTGCAAGAGGAGTGTAAGATTCTTTCTCTCTTTCTCTCTCTCTCTCTCTCTCTCTCTCTTATTCTCTCTGTCGTTTCTCGTTCTCATCATTCGTTCGTTTTGATGACGTAAGTCAATGTGTTGATATGAAGAAGCATGACGACGCGACGACGATAACAACAGCGGCACCAGCAGCAATAGTAGTAGTAGAATCTTTAGCATCCCGGCTATTTCGCGGTCTCAACAGTGCACATAAGAGGGAGTAGAACAAAGCCAGTTTCTTTCTTTTTTTAAAATTTTTTTACGTAATTGATCATTCCCACATGTCAACGATCATTACAAATCGATGACTCAATCAATGCATGATCTGCGGTTAGCGCTGCGTGACAGCGTGAAAAAATTGGACGATACAGAAAATACAATGAATAAATTACGCACTGATTATGATAATCAAATACAAAAAAAAGACGAAATTATTTCAATGAAAGAATCCATTATCAAAGAAAAAGATGCTTATATATTGAAACTTGAACAAGAAATTTCCAAACACGATTCAACATTTATTTCCTCGACTGATTTTAATGATGGTATAGATATATCCACATCGAAACGAACAAGTTTACTTGAAGTATCTTCAACAACAAAACATCAACGTACAAAACGCACAGCTATTAGTGCTGAACCTGCTCAACATAAAAAGTCCAAAGACCTACGTATCGTTCTTGAACCATACGCAAAATCGGATCGGTAAGGAAACCTGCAAAAAGAAAAGGAATCTCTCAATTAAATACAATGTAATGTGTAATAATAAGAACAAAACAAAAACAGTTAGTGCTCGATTGAACAGTTAAATGTAGACAATAAACAGAATCTATATATCAACGGATGTATATGTTGAAAAGAAAGATCCAGATGTTTCTGCTGTGATCCAAGAACTTCATCTATCTATTCATTTATCATATATAAGAAGTAGTATTTAACCAAGTGAAAGTTTGTTAAAGTCTAGATCCAGGGTTTTCTATTATGACGAGGGGAATATTATCATAAGAGCCGAGGCATTATACGCTTATTTTTTCTGTCTAAATCCATCATTGCAAAAAATAGCAATTTATATTCGATTGCTATTCTTGTGTGTTCTTTTCTTCTCAATAGAACAAAAGAATTCTTACGTATTGCCATATTAAACAATGATTTCATGAAAAATCTCGAAATGGATCAGATTATGTCTATTGTCGATTGTATGTATCCACTTGACCATCCAGATGGAGATTTAATCATTAAAGAAGGCGATGTTGGAAATCGTGTTTATATCATGGAAGGTAATGGAATTACAGGGCAAAAAAGATAATTATGTTGTTTCGGTTTTTAATTTCTAGAGGGTTTGGTTGAAGTAAGTAAACATAGTAAGACATTAACAACTATTGGTCCAGGCCGAGTATTTGGTGAATTAGCTATTCTATATAATTGTACTCGTACTGCTTCGATTAAGGGTACACGAGACAGAAAAATAATGGGTATGATGACTGATTGTTGCCTTGTTTAGCGTTATCGGATTGCAAGTTATGGGCAGTCGATCGGCAAACATTTCAAGCTATTATGATGCGAGCTGGTATGCAGAAACAGAGCGATCATTTAGAATTGATTCGAAAGTATGCTTAATCCTAGTCTATTTTTGTTTTTAATAAAAATTTTTGTCCAGTGTAAAAACATTCGCAAGTTTACGCGAAGATATTCTGAGTAAAATCATTGATTCATTGGATGAAGTTAGTTATGCCGATGGTGAACACATCGTACGACAAGGTGCAACAGGTGACACGTTTTATGTTGTTGCTAAAGGTAAAATTTTCTGATAATTTACAAAAAGAAAACAAAAGGATGATTTCAATCGAATAGGACGTGCTCAAATTACTCAAGCTAAATCGAAATGGGATACACCTATCTACGATCGGCATATTGAACGCGGAGACTCGTTTGGTGAAAAGGCACTTCAAGCGTAAGTTATCCTATAATGAAAATAAAACTTCACATAAAAATACGGGTACATAGTTATCATCAATAATCTTGATTTTAGTTGAGTTTATAAAAATAGATCCTATTGATAGCGCTTCATGAGAGCTTTCTCTTCCGGAAAGTTGATCTTTTAAATTTTCGAATAGATCAACTTGATTCTTAGAATTACACAATACTGTATAGAATATGCACTATTGTTGTTTATATAATGTCAAACAAGGATACTGTTAGCTCGATAAAAACAAGATATAATAGCATTATTGAAACGCCTATCAAAGCTTTTTCTCCTACGTTAACCGGATGCATATTATCATAATATCATTGAAATTTCTTTGTAATGAAAGCTATTATTTATACAAGTCAATAATGAAACCATCAAGATTCAATAACATACAATTATCTAAGAGAAGAAAAAGTAATTTCTGAATTTCGAACAACTTCAAACGAAAATATCATCCGATTTCACCTCTACTGTTTATGCTGAATAGGAGACTATGGATCGAACTAATTAGAAAAATTTCTCCTGTAAAGAAGACGCTTGAAATGTTTGTATCTTGTTGCTAGCAGACGATTGTTTTTGAAAAATTCTGTATCTCGACAAAAGAATATTCTGTGCTTGTGAAAATTCACAATCACTCTACAGGTTATTTGATCCGTATAAAAGCTAAATCTCGCGGAGAGCTTTAAATGTTGTTATTGAGTAAAATGATTTTAACTCTAAACAATCACAGTTTCAAGTATATTCTAGCCTTAATGAGACTTCTGCTGAGAAGCAATCTAAGTACTGTTCTCGGAAGTACTTAAATCTTTTGATATATCTCTTCAAAACACAATATAATCAAAAATTAAAATTAAATACTCTTCTAGCGAAGAAACTCGACCATTCAATGTCATCGCTGATGATCCCAACGGTGTCACATGTCTTGTACTCGATCGACAAAGTTATCGTGAAATGATAGCAGATGAATTATTTCGATTGAAACGTGAAGAATCCTTTAAAATTACACGTAAACTGTACGTTACTTTTTATTATTGATCTTCCATCAATTATTAAAAATTACATGTTTAACTTTCATTTTCAGTACAACTTCTACTAGCGGTGAAGACGAACGTGATTTGAAAAATCTACGTTTAAGTGATATTGAAATTGTTTGTACATTAGGTCTTGGTGGTTTTGGTCGCGTAGAATTAGTAAATATTTTAATAGTCTTCGATCTTTTGCAGTCATAGATATGTGTATAAATAATAGGTCCAAGATACGCGAACTTCATATAAATATGCTCTTAAACAAATGAAAAAACAACATATTGTTGCTATGAAACAACAAGAACATGTAATGAACGAACGAAATATAATGATGGGAACAAGATCGGACTTTATTGTTAGGTACAATTGATTTATCTTTCGGTTATACTCGAAATATTGTTTCATTCGATAAATTTCTATTAGATTATACAAAACATTTAAAGATCGAAAATATTTATACATGCTATTGGAATCATGTTTGGGCGGAGAACTATGGACTTTATTACGCAATCGTGGTACATTTGAAGAATTTGAAGTGCGATTTTATAGTGCCTGCGTTATTGAAGCATTTGCTTATTTACATAGCAAAGGAATTGTTTATCGAGATTTAAAAGTAATGATTTGTTATTTCTATTGTTTGACTCTTTAACATCCTTTGTTTAGCCTGAAAACCTTTTATTAGACAATAAAGGTTATTGTAAATTGGTAAGTCGTTGATTTTGACTCAAAAGAATAACAAGATCTTCTTATTTATCAGGTTGATTTTGGTTTTTCAAAAAAAGTTGGTCTTGGCAAAAAAACATGGACATTCTGTGGTACACCTGGTAATAAAACTACTTTTCCTATTTTCGAATGCTATCGTGTCCTATATGTTTATTTAGAATATGTTGCTCCAGAAATTATCCTAAATAAAGGCCATGATATGGGTGCTGATTGTTGGGCTCTAGGTATTCTGATATTTGAGTTAATCAGTGGAAAGTAAATTAATTAGTTGATTCATATTTATTTTCTATGAAATCTGTTTTCTACGTAGTCCGCCATTCTCCGGTCCTGATCCAATGAAAACTTATAACATTATATTGAAAGGTATTGATGCTGTTGAATTTCCTCGGAAAGTTTCAAAAATGGCTGCATTATTAATCAAACGATTGTGCAGGTAAAAATTCTCACAGAGACAAAGAAAGTGTTTAAATTTTACTTATTATCTGTAGGGAAAATCCCATTGAACGTATTGGCTATCAAAAAGATGGTATAAAAGACATTCAAAAACATCAGTAATTTATCGGATTGATGTTTTTATGAAATAAAAATTTTTGTGTACTTTCAGATGGTTTGAAGGGTTTAGTTGGGAATGTTTGAAAAAAGGAACATTAGCAGCACCTTATACTCCAAAAGTAAATAATTGGACTAGATTTTGATGTTTAATAATTGTATTTTTCTCTGTAGGTTGAACATGAAGTTGACACGTCGAATTTTGATTATTTTCCTGAAGATGAATCTACCGAGCCAGAAGATGATTTAACCGGTTGGGATAAAGAATTTTAATTTACGAGAAAAACAATAAGTTTTCTGCTTCCAGAGCTCAATGTATTGCCTGTATATTATTATTATTATTATTATTATTATTATTATGAGAACATTGTTCTTTCTTGTTGTTCTTTTTTCTGCTTTTTTCGTCTAATGCTAATCTATTTATATCGTAAAGAGAAAGTTTCTTATTGTTCGTTAGAGTTCGTCTATAATTGCTTGTCAAAATCGCCATGTATATCTTTTAATTGAGTTACTTCTAGTTATCTATAAAGTTAAAGAAAGATGTCTTTATCTTATCATTAATTAGTTCTTAAAAGTTTATGCAAAAAAACAAAACAAAAAAGATAGATAGGTTTTTTTAGACAAGATTAATTTCCAACGATACTCAACAATTTCTCTTTTCTATCCATAAAAAAGTTACTTTGAAATACAATACAATTGACGATAAATATTTTGTAGATGGACGTTCGATTATTTATTTACGGTACATTACTAATTAATATCCAGGGCTTCGCGTCGTTATTTATATTAATACACTATAAATAATAGTTTACTGAAGATACACATACGACTTTGTGTAACATTCAAACTCGAATATAAACTATCGAAGCTTTTCATAAACACAATAGTTAAAGAAAACGTTACGAATCAATACAACGGAAGTTCTATCATAGATTACTGGCTTAAGTAATTGTAACCAAGCGTTGTTCAGTAGAAACCGAATTGCTTATTTTTTAATGAATTCAAGATCGGGAAAAAGCTCATTTTCAGACTTGCATAGAGCAATGATATTTCAATGCATGAACATCAAATCTGAATAGATGAAATTATTGTCGGTTTTGAACCCAAGAGCAATTCTATACTGAGTTTATTTACTTGTAGTTACGATGTTATTACTACCGGGCTGTCTGCCAATGAGCCCTCTAGTAGAACATTGAATAACAACTTGCTAGATTAATTCTTAGCATCAATCGGATAGTTGCGGGCGTGAGTTTTCTCCAAGGGGGAAAATCCCATAAATTGAAAAGCATTTTTCTCTCTGTGAATGACGTAGTTTCGACCTGAAATTCTTCCCATATATAGATTTCATGGTCCATAAAAGATCCTAAAAGTTTCAACTCGAATAAATGTTTCCTTAAAATATTGAATTTTCAAAAAAAACTAGATTTTCTGAACGTGCCGTGAAATGAGTATTCCTTGCGCATTCATTATCTTGAGAAGGAAACGTCTGTTTGCGCTGAAAATTTTAGAATATTCTAAGAATCATGAGACTTACATATGGGAAAAAATTCAGATGGAAATTACATCATTCACGTTTTGAATTTTCGGATTTTCAAAATCCCAAATCCGTCTTTTCCTCCTTGGTTTTCTCACTCGCACCTCAAATTTACTATCTCGGCAATTATCTAATGGAGTCTTGATCAGTCGTTTTTCGAACGGATATCCTTTTAAAAATTTCAGTATTTTCTATTTTGATTAAAGTTTAGACTATCGAAAGATGCAATATTTTCGCATTAAATTATCATGCTCACTACAATTGCTGTTCCTTTAGAAACCTGTTCTAATAGAAAAAAATGGTCACAGTTCAAAACAAAGGAAAAATTCCGTTTCTAACTGATTGCTTCCAGCTTTTCTATTGCCGAAAAACAAATTCCGGGCATATTTTATGTCAAGGTTTTAGCAGCATCACCATCTATACAAATAGATGATGAAACAAAATGCATTAAAATAACAACATTTTTTTTTTGATCAATGCTATTGTCTATTCATGATTGAAAACGAAGAAATTTTGTATCCAACTTGATATATTTATTTTTCCAAACGACAAATGTAATCGTTTTTTCTCTCTACATTGATGCTCAAGGTTTGTCGAACATCGACCAGATGACATGGTTTGCTAACATCTCAACATAGATTGAATATATTCATATGTTAATTATGGCAAAACGCACGTCATCTTCTAGCGTTTATCTCTAACAAGTATCACTATCTTATGTTATTCATTTTTTATGATTGCAGAAGGAAAAAAAGTAGTGAAATTTCAAATTTTTAACATTTTACTCTATCAAAGCATTAAAATTAGATTTTCGCTGAAATTAGAATGCGAACCGTATAGAATTTATTTTGGTTTAATGAACATTTATCTATCATAGGAAATGAACAGCGGAAAGAAACGGTACATGCTGCAAATAAACAATGAAACATGACATAGATTTTGTCGCAATCTACATCTGAATGTATTCAATCTGCCGGTTACAATATTAGGACAACAACGTCATCTGGTTTATATTGAAAAAAAAAGAGATGATAAGCGCCACTGTATAAACAATTACAAAGTCTCTACAATTCAATAAAGGAAAAAAACAGTTATTACTTTCAATAATTCGGAACTAAATATCAATTTTTTCTCATATTTGCTCACAGACAAAACATTATATGCAATCGATGTCTATATATATATATATATATTCTAGTTAATTTTGTATATTTAGAATCAGTGTTTATCATATCCTAATCCATTTATGCAACAATTTTTCACTGATTTACGCAACATGCGTACATCCACTAAAACGATCGAATAACCTATTTGACACAAATATCGACATTTAATTTGCATACTAAAACGAAAAAGAAATTTTAAAGAATAAGTCTATTGAAAAGAAAAGATTATCATTTTATTGAAGTTTCTTCTCTTTCTTTCTTCTCGTCTTGATCTTTTCGTCAGTAAAAACAGAAAAGGTGATGTTCATATCTGATTTCTTGTTCTTACATAAGATATATCTATTCCAAGCTTCTCTTTAATTAAATTTACAGCTGATCATAAATAGTTCATGAGTAGAGTTCAACCTTGAAAGCAGGTAGAAGATGAATTTCATATTGAGGTGACAAATGCATATGACCGATTGATTTCATAGCTTTCCAGTCTGCGGAAGACATAAAAACACGGAACAAGAAAAAGTAATTTTTATCTTTGAATGAACTTCTAATCGATAGGGCTAGAGAATTTCTTTCTACTTCAAAGTTTGATTATCGCGTCGTTCTATTCTTTTCTCCATCTCATTAGCTTACACAGCGGGAATAGAAATATACTGACGTAATTCCGCATTGTTCTGGTTTTCGCCATCATCTTACTCGTTATCCAGTGACAGGCAACTTCTAAACACAAACTTTGTTTATATCTACGTTCAAAACAAAATTAATCAGTCGTACAGTTACAGAGCGAAACAGGCGTCTCATTCAACTATAAACAGAGGTTATAATCGATGAAACGTCTGTAATAAGATAGAGTCATTATCGACTGCAAGAATAGGAACCAAAAAAAGTGAAGATTTATGGTAGGTCTACGTGCTTATTATTCTGTTCAGCTCTAATTAGCATTTATCACATGAACTTCTTTGACCTTTACACTGCATGAAATCAGGTGATTGAGTATCATTTAAGAACAAAAAAAAGGGCAAATTAACTATGTCTGTCTATTTGTTGTTTCAGCTTGTTCATGTCTCAATAATATATTTGTTTCATTCTATTTCTTTTTTGTCTTTAGCGAATAGATTAAGCGAGAAAAATTTTTTTTTTCTAAACTCTTAAAAGCAGCAGTGCGCATCAATGAATTCTATGAATAGTGCCAATCCCCGCGACGAATAGAATGAACGCCGGTAATTTGCATGTCGTCGCATATTTCTTTACCCGATAAAACAAAAAGCATTTAACACGTTAATCGACATTTAAGTATGTTGTTTGGTGTCACTTGACAAAGCGTATGTGTCTGAGCTAATGTAGAGAGAAAAAGAAGAAGCGGTAATAGATCATCATCTTGCGATAGATATATCATTTGGTCGTAACTATAAAAAAATAATAATAACATTGACCTTATCATTGGATACTAAAGAAGTTGTTAAGACAAGTTATATCACCTTATTTTGACAGTGATTGATTTATGTGAGGAAGGCGTGTTTAGACATTTTTTTTGTTTTTACTATACGTGAATGACCGATAAAATAAAAATTGAAGAAGAAATGTTTCTATTTCTGGTCAAGTATATAATTAGAATAAGAAAGAGAGCGCATGCATATACATCACGAGCATTTATGTTTTTAGTATAGAGATCGTTTGCAATATATTTGCATTTATTTAATGCTTCGAATAGAAGTCTGTTAGTGATATGAGAATCAATTTTCATCGTTCAGCTTTCTTCTTCTTTTATTATTCTTAATTCGAACAAGAATAAGATATCTCGTCTATATGTGTCTCTTCTTCTATAGAGCACCATATACGAATAAAAAAAAAAAAGAAGAGAAGAATCTATTCATCTCGAGAGAGATGAAGAGAGAAGCCCATACTAATGATATGAATGAGAAGCGTTTTTCTCTTTCTTTCTCTCTCTCTCTCTCTCTCTCCCTTGATAGAGATTGTGTGTTGATCGCACGTCTACACTATTGTACGTATGCAGCAAACTATATGCATATATATTATTCTATCGTTGCCTCTCTCTCTCTCTCTCTTGTTGCCTCTTTGTAAATTAATGATAACCTTGTGTAACTGTGAGCAGTAAGTATAGAGGATTTGATCATATTGTTTCGTTGATGAAACCTTGAACTTTTGACTTACGGATAAATCTCTAATCTATTCTCTACCGATACCCTTATGTTGATTGTTTGTTTTCCACTTTAGTTCTCTTTTTTCAATGTACAAATATTTGTTTGCATGTACTCCTTCACATTCATTGTAGACACATGTAAAATGATATGAGTTGATGAGTGTATATATCGTATTCATTCTTTTTTGTCCCATTATCTGTCTTATACATACTATATTGTTTTTCTTTCAACCTAAAAAGAACTTGACAGCTGTCGAGTCCATATGATAAATATGGATGAGAATTTAACCATCACTTAAATTCAAGTGATCATCGCCATCATCATCAGGTATAAGCAATTTTTATTTTGAGTGACAGTTTTTCATTGTAAAATCGCTGTGGGGTGTTCAAACGACTAGTTCTAATAATTTCAATTGTGAATGCATTAGCACGGATATGTTGAAACAAAGGAAGTGTGTGTGTGTATGTGCGCGGCATTTTGAAGTTGAACAAATAATTGTCCCAGGTACCTTAGCCAATAGTAGTTAAGACAAAAAATATTCATCTTCTTCTGCTTCAACGAACGCATCTAATGCGATTATCGTTACTGTACACATACTACTGATAGATTCATCATCATCAACGACAAGCCCCTCTGAATCAGTCAGTCATTTATCTACTGGTGTACACTGCGCTCTAAGCAAACACAAACATCGATTGTATATGTTGCAGATGAATGGATGTTATCATTACCTACTGTTACTGAGCTTGCTCGGTTCATTAGAGAAAACTATTTCAATCAATCTACCAAATGTAACAATTCAACATATATGCGAACATGATTTACTTTTTATTAAATGTTCAAATATAAACGAAACAATACAAATTGTACGTTCAATGTATGGACGTACATCACAAAGACTTTGTAATTATGATCTAACTAATCAAATATCTTCGAGAACATGTGCAAATATTGAACAGTCAAAGCATCAAACAAAACTTCGGTGAATAGAGAAATTGTTTTTTTTTATTTTCTGGATTTAAAAAACTTCTTGTTTTTCTTATTCAGATGTCAAAGAAAATCTTCATGTCAAATACTTATCGATAATGATATTTATGCTGATCCTTGTGGGCTGAACATATCAAAACATTTTGAAATACATTATCGATGCTTAGACTTCGATGAAATTTGTTCGAAACTTCTTCATAATTGTTCATTATCGAAAGATTTAAAATGCGTAGAAAAAGTTCAAGATGAATATTCATGTCAATGTCCATCATCAATATGCGAATATAATCATAAGAGACAATTAATCGGTTTTGCTGAAAATACTTGTTTATCAGAAAATTTTCAAGGAATCGATTGGCCTAAAACACTTGTTAATAAAGGTCAACATATGCCCTGTCCTTATCCATGTACTGGTATGATATATTAACATATTTATCTTTCTTGCATCATATCGGAATTGAAATTGATTATAGGTCAAATATTTCGTTCTTGTCATATGAATAGTCAATGGTCAAAACCGAACTATACAAATTGTCAATGTTCGATAAATAAATTTGATCAAGTAATTCGATTAAAAACAAAAAAAAATTTCTTTTTCAACTTATCGTCTATTTTGATTAGTTATCAATGCATCATTTAGCTCACAGCTATGTCTTTCAATGTAATTTTTGGTTAATCAATAGACTTTTGCCTAGGGATAATTCATGCATATTTGTATGTAGACTTCACTCGTTTTTTTTCTTCCATTCATTACATCGAAGAGATTCTGATTGTTTAGGAGACAAATGACGATGGTCCAGCTACTTGTCTACTAAGTGCTTTTGAAAAGATGTCATTTACATCCTGTGCATCGTTTAGTATTGATTTTAAGAATCTTGGTTTGTAGAAACAGAACAATGTTTTCTCATTGGACAATTTTTTTTTCTCTCTCTCTCTCTCTCTTGAATAGGTTTTGAAATATTCATACCCATGAATGATCAAAGAAGATTTCGCTTACCGAGCATGCATGAAAAGTTAAAAACACAATACGGTGCAAGTCAAATTCTTATTGATAAAATTTATAATTCACATGCAAATTTGCCTATGATGTTTATTGATACAAAAAGTTCAAGTACAACAAGCAAATCATTGATTTTAGTTGAACAAACGCATAATACAAGTTCAATGCAAACGGCTAATGTAACCGTCATATTTAATCATCGCGTAAGTCAAATGATTTATGTTTCTGTTTTCTTTCAGAAATGAAATCGTTCATTTTTCTTTTTGCATTAAACAGTAAATCGTTGATTAAGCAAGGATGTTAAGTGAAGAGATCCTATTTTTCCGAAAGGCAAAAGTTAATTACGAGCAAAATACTTATCGCATGCTTAATATAACTTGAGTTTTTCTCGAAAAAAAATGGAGTTGATGTATAAATACATCCTTATCACAGGGACACATTTTGAGAGTACACAAGAAACTTGTATATTGTAATTATGAAGAATACGCGAGATGATGAATGAGTGTGTCTAGATTCGTCCTTGCTGAAAATTAAGCTTATATAAAAAATATTTCCTCAAGAATGCTCAATCGAAAAGAATCCTGCAGCGGAATTGAACTTTGACATTTATAGGAAAATGTTTTTTGAATTGCTAATTCTATCGAATCCAAACAAAGTAGAGAATGGAAATGGTACGAAGTTAAGGCCGAGGTTTATTCTATCTCTGCGCTTGGCAAATAGATTCTAGCAATAAATTCGATTGATAAATGACCGATGTCATGCTATTCTAATCAGGATATTATAGACTTTTGCCTTGCACTATATCAAATAACAGTTGTGACTATCATAATTAAGCGATTATGTGATTGGACATATGTCCCAAAAAGCTAACGACTGTGTTTAAATCTTGACGCAATTTTCAGTCCTGAAATGACCCTGGACTACTTACTACCAGTTGCTTGACTTGAATCAGCTGTCTGATGACATGCTGACTAGGTCATGACACACACATCCGCTTGTTTGCTTATTTAGTGTCTATACGGGGGTTCACAATTGCCTGCTGTTTAAAGCAATAACTAGTATTAGTTGTATGGAATATATTAGACTGTTGAACTTACCACTGGGCAGTACTATATATGTGCCCCGAGGTACTCGAAATGCAGTGGCATCTTTCTTTGATGTTAATGGAATTTTTTTACAGAAGCTTTTTACTACTTATTTCTAGTCATCCGAATTACGGTATCAATGTCGAGCGTATCGTTCAACACATTCGTCGTTTCAAATTGAGTATGCATACATGTGCATAATTTCGTATTCTAATCATCGGTTTACTTTTTCTTTGATCTAGTTCATCGGATATATTTTTTACATGTCAATTATTATGTTCGAACGGTAGTCATGTTATATGTCAATGTCCATTTTACAATCCTTTTATGCATTACGTGTTACAAGTTGATGTAAGAGATAATTATTGGTTGAGTTCTTTCTATGGTTTCCTATTCTTTAGACTTCAATATCTGAAGATAATTTTGAATTGTCACTGATTGATAATGATTTACAAGACAAATGCTCAGTTGATTTGCCTGACACCTCATTGCAACAATCAATAAATAGAATTGATTATTATCTTGAAAAATTTTCGTCATTTCAACAAAAGAAGATTTTAGCCAAAGTTCGAACGAGACTTTTTTTGTTAAAATGAAGTTTAAAAATTTGATTTTTTCTAGAAACTTATTTCATTTATTGATACGCTCATTGATAATGAAGAGGAATGGTTAAATAAAAGTTTCTATTCGAAATGGAATTTAGCTGTTCGATTTATTCAACAATTAGATTTTATTGGTTTACAGTTAACCGATGTCATCGTGAATTCATTTATTTCAATCAATGAACATATTGGTAAGAAAAGATGCCGTTCGAATAAACAGAACCGAACATTTCTTTTTTTAGAATTTTATGTTAATTCTCAAGAATTTGGAAATAAAGATCAATCCGTGATCATTTCAATGGATGAAAATATCAATTCAACATTTTTTACTATATCAAAATTAGATGAATATCTAAACAATAATCTATCATCAGCTAAATTAAACAGTCCGATTGTTAGTCTACATGTTAAACTAAAAGCTATAGACAATATTCGAATCACATTTCGACATTTCGTAAGATGAGAAAAAGCTTCAAACCGAAAATTCAAAACCCTAAATCTATTTTTCATATAGAATCCACTGAACAATTCTGATCAAATGCCAACATGTGTCTATTTAAAAAATATTGACAAGTAAGTCAAATTAATTTACCGGTGACTTTTTTCAGTTCAGAACGAATCGTATGTGGAGATTTTCAGAGAAATACGTTATCGATCTAATCGCAGGTTTTACTGTATTCCGTAAGCTTCTGATTTCGTATAGATACGAGCCGTCTTTCTCTACAGATCTATGTAAAAAGTAACGCTCTTCTAAGATCGGAAGTCCTGCATTTTAGTGCAAGTACTTTTCAATGGCGTACTGATGGATGTTATTTATTATCGGCGAATTTCACACATTCAATATGTTCATGCAATCATTTATCGGCATTCGCTGTTCTCATGGATGTTCAACAGACATTTGAGAAGGTTGGTTGAGTTTGGAACAAAATAAGAAAAATAATCTTTAATTTTTAGTCAATTATAAATATGCACAGAGATCGATTATCATTTATATCGAAAATTGGATCTACAACATCGATTATTTGCTTACTGTTGACGATCATTATGCTAATGATAAGGTAATGTGAAGCTTTTAGTATATTCGAACCTCAGTGCACTTTTCAAATAAGATATATATCAACTATACGCCTAATAGATGCAGGAAACCTCTCAAATAATTGATAGTTTCTATGAGAATTCTGTGATGTCCCCCAGTAATATACTATGTAGATTTCGAATAATTAGATTTACACCTAGTTCTCAACAAGACTATCATATACATCGTTCAAACTGTTGAGATTAAACTTTAAATGTAAATATGTTTTTCTTTTGACGAAGACAGAGTAAGACACTTTAACGACTTTGAACATATTGAATTCAGAGAAAGATTTTTCAATTAATCAATCTTCTTTGAGTGGAAACGGGAAAAATCATGTAGAACCTAATCAGTTAAGAATGTCCGAAAAATTTTCAATTTACTTCCTGAAAATTCTATTATAAACTCTAAGGCACAAGAATCTAGACTCAGACTTGAGTCCAGCAGAGTCGACAGTGCTTTATTATGATCAAAACACTAATATTCGAGATAAAGAAGGACATTTGCGGGTGTGGGTGTGATTCTTCTGCTCATCTACGCTACTCCACGCCCGTTTTTGGAATTCTTTGATTTTCATCATTTCCTTCCAGAACTTCTTTGTCTGATATATCACTTTCACATTGAGCAACTTGTACGACTTCCATCTTTTTTATTCGTTGATACTAAACTGAATGTGAAAGAAAGGAGCTAAGAGTACATTTATATATGTTGCACTTATCAGCTGTACGATATTATAGACCAAAAGAACAAACATGAATCTCCTTATAACACATTTCAATTTTTATACGGATCCTTTAATCTAATTTACCGATTTTTAAACATATCAATAAATTGAAGTATATTAATAGCTGACCACACAAATAATGTACTGATCATTTCACTTATTCTACTGGTCGCTTAAATGATAGCCATTTGCAATTTTTACTTTTGAATTAATCTGGATTTTCCTAGGCTACGGATTCTCGAAAGGCATTAGTTAATAGTAGATGATACGATAATGTATTTCGCCGAAGATAATGATTTTTTCCTGTGCCTTCTGATAGAATTGGATAAACATTGTCTGATGTATCTTTCATTATTAGATCTGAAGTCAAGAAATAAGGAAACAATCTCCATCAGAATGATGAGACACAAAATTTCCAACGAAACTACTTGAATAGGAGTCGTTATCTATTCGCTTTCAGTTAACAGAAATTCTGAGAGAAAATTTTCTTCTTTTCATAGATTTCTATCCAAGCAGCACTGAAAAACTCTTCGTATGCATCATTTTCAATAGAGGATTCTAACAGTAGTGGCGAGAAAAATATGAAGCCTAGTCTAAGTTTGATCGTAAAATTCACAGATCGGCAAGCAAGTTCGACAGAATAAACTCTACATTTTCCCATCCTAACTTCATTGATCTATTAACTCTAAAATATTTATTTTCCTTAGACGTCATATGGATGTTGATGATGATCTAATGATTGTTCGTAATGTTCTTCATATTAACTTGTCAATTTGCTTATTAATTGCTCAAATATTATTTCTCTTCGGTATTAACCAAATCACTTATAAAGTAACGCTAGGGTTTTTTTGGAAAAAAAGACACATCCTCTCATCATTTATGCATTTTTGATTTAGCTCGGTTGCCGAACAATAACTATTTTACTACATTATTTTCTTCTTGCAACGCTGTCATGGATGTTTATTGATGCCATTGAATTAGTTATCGCATTAAAACATATGTTAAAACTCGATCGTATCAGAATATTAGCTTATATTTTATATGCGTATGGATTTCCATTACTTATTGTTATTCTGTCGATTGTTTTGTCAACCAATGAACATCATTCGGAAGCATAGTATGTATTCATTGACGATTTCTATGGCATTCTAAATACTAAACATAGTTTAAGATCTGATTGTGATTGAAACGCAAGGGGGAAACGGCGAGCTTTGGACGTGAAGTCATTTTGAGCTACTTCCAGTGGTGAAATTCGAAGAATTTTCCTACTTCAAAGTTACATCAAAGTTGCAAAGCTACTTGTTCTTATTTCGGACTACTTGAGTAGGGTTTTTAGCTTCTGCAAGCATGCACTTTGAACTGTTTTTGGCGTACTTTTCTACTTGAAGTTCGTCGCCGTTTCCTCCTTGTTAAAACGTATTGCTTTGACAAAGAAGATTAATCATATCCAACGCATGACGTTTGTTAGTAGATAGAAATAGATGTAAACTCCTTAGACAACCACTCATTTCAGTCCTCATGCAATAACGTATTGTCAAGTGAAACCTCTGTAAAACTATTTGAAAGGAAAAATCCTATCGACATTTATAAGCAATTATGTAACACAGTAAAAAGAACTCTATTTCGAAGATAGGAGAACCTGACATGTAATTTTTGTGGAAAATCAATAATCTATTTAATGTCACAAGAAATTTTACCACTTATGCAGACCTAGAAAAAATGTCTATCGTGGGTCGAAACTTCTACTGGCGCTTAACAATACTCTTTCAATCTCAGGGCAAACCATCAGCAAAGACGATAAATATCTTATTATTTTATTTTTAATTGAGTACAAAACGTAACCTGTAAAACGTTCATTTTAATTACGTGCCCTATGGAATTTAAAAAGGATCTAACTACTCTAGTTAATCATAGACAAGCTGTCTTAGGCTATCTATTGTTTCGAGCATTAATCTATTATCGTTTTAATTAATGCTTTAAAAATGTAATCAGTCAGTTTTTCATATCGTGTAGAAGGATATTATTGATGTATGAAACGTGATTATTTATGATAATCTGTCACGATCCATGGGTGCCTAGATTTACTTACCTCGTTACTTCAGTATTCGCCCGTAGTCTGTACTTTTTGAAACATGCAATGCCGTTGTCATCTTTGTAATCATTAATCAAAAGCCAACGAGTATTGTTTTTCTTGTATGACTGATTATTGCTCTATTGTAATACATAGAAAATTTATCAAAAACAAAAACAAAAACAAATACCTTTTGTTTGTTGCATTTCTAGCTGTTGGTTTTCCTATGACACTGCATTTATATGGGCGTTTGCTATTCCGTTTGTTCTTTTGATTCTTGTAAGTTCCGCGTAATATTCTTTCAAATAAATAATAATTCGTTTTTTTTCTTCCTCTACTGTAGACCAATATTTTCTTTTTTATTGTATCAATTTATGCCATATGTAAACATTTTAAAACTTCGAATTCTTCAAAGGAAACCAGGTAATTATAGAACAAAAAAAAACAACAACAAAAGTTTTATCTGTGATTCGATGAACACATTTTATATTTTTCTCGATAGATATTTTCTGCGTGACATCACCGCATTATCCATACTATTTGGTATAACATGGCTCATAGGTTTATTTCATTTGCATGAGCAAATTTCAATTATCTTCTCATATGTGTTTACAATTTTAAATTCATTTCAAGGCTTGCTAGTATTTATTTTTATTTGTCTACTGAAAAATCCAATGAAAAATATTTATATTCATCGAATTATGAGTATTTATAAAACATCAACGATCGAAGAGAAATCAAATCAGCATTATAATACAAGTAGTAGTGGTTATAGTTCAGCGCATTCATCAGATTTAAATAAACAAATTTTATCATTAGATCATCAATCGACATTTCGTACAAATGCAGAATATTTATCGAGTATGCCTATTGGGCTACTGAGCACATTTCGTTATCCGAAATCGAATCTGCCATTGCCAATAGCACTCGAACAAAATGAACAACTATTAAAAAAATATAAAATCGATCTAAATCATCAACAAGACGATCATCAGTATTATGAAATTGGTTAATGTTTGTTTTGTTTTCTTATTCTTGTATTTTTCTCCGGTGTTTTGTTTATATTCATATGCATAAATATATGGAAAAAAAGAAAGAAAACATATTTTTTGTGTACTCAAAAAGTGAGTACACTCTAGAATCGGTCAGTGTGTCCGACCGTAGGCACGATAACTTGCGAAAGGAGATTCAGACCGTGATGAAATTTTCCACACAGTTCAATCTCATGAATATCTCGGTCGAGTTCGAAGATGAGAAGAATCCCTGAAGAAATGGTTGAGTTATCGAAAAAATTGTCATTTTTGACCAGGCCATCCCTGAGGAGGAGTAAAGGTAATTTTTTTCAAAAAATAAATCTTTCTCAGAATTATTCACAACATATATAAATCGACTCCGTTTTTAACGCTGATTCCGAATCTGATATTAGTTTTGAGCTAAACCGTAGCTTTCTGATGAAACATCGCCTGAAAAACGTCTCAAAATGCACAAAAACTGCATCCAGAAATCAAATTGCCTAGTTTCTCATGATAATTTTGCTGTTCAGACATTCTAGAATGACTCATATATCCCATGCACTTTTTGCAGTACACATAACTTTCGGATGAAATCCGAATTTTCCACATTTATTTATTTTAAATCATCGGTTACAACGTAAGAATATGTCAAGCGTTCTTTCGGTCAAAGTGCTCTACTCTCTGACGAATCGACACGGTGCATTAAATCCGATTGTGTACGTTTCCGAGCGAGTGCCGTGTTGGCTACTGTGGAATGATTTTTTCTGTTAAGTTCAATATTTGATGATAACAGACGACCACGATATTTGAAATCACAATGACAAATCCGTCTAACGTATGAGCCTATTCGTTCTCGAAAGCCATTTAATGACAATGCATATATCAATGGATTGATACAAGCGGCTACTTTCGTAAGCATACCCAGTATTGCTGTTGTGTAAATACTTAATAAATGATCAAAGCCAAATGCAGAAACTAAAGCCATAAAAGCATAGGGTCCCCATGCCGAACAAAATACCGTACATATAAGTAATGCTGTACGTGTAGCACGAGTTTCGGTACGACGAATATTTCGCATTGCATTTTCATTACTGAATGAGAAAGGTGCTGTTGATCCTTGACATCCTGGATTTTCATTTTGTACGCTTAGTTGATTAAAATAATGGGCCATACCATTTGGATTCGAATAGGATTCATCTTTTGATAGTGATCCAAGTTGACGGCCACGTTGAGATAATTTCATTAAAATGAATGCATAAGCAAATATAATAACTGAAAATGGAATGAAAAAGCCACCGATTACCAATAGTAGAATAAATGACCGGTCCCATGAATTTTTTGATACATAATCAAATGTGCATGATGTTCCAAAACCTTCTAAAATAAAACGACTCCAGCCGAATAATGGTGGCATGATCCACATTGAACCATAGATCCAGGCGAACGCAAGATAGTCTATTGAAATAGAAATTTTTTGTCTTGTGTGCTAAAGTAGGACATATAGAAGTACAAACTTAAGGTAGAACGACTACTAAGTTTTAATGAGCTAAATGGGTTGTTAACAGCTCTTAACCTAGTTAAAGCAATAGCTGCCATGGTTGAAATTGATGTAAGACCAAATACACCACCACAAACAGAATAGAAATTACACCCTAGAAACAATTTTCAGAGAATATATCGATTTGGCACGTTTTCTAAATAATTTCAATTATTGAAATTGATTTTTATTCAATTATCAAAATTTACATAATTTCTCAAAATGAACGATCAAAATAACAATATATTCTTCTTATAGATGCCGAGACTAGCATCATCATCGTCTATTCAAGTGCAGTATAATCTTAAATCTATTTATTGTGCAGAACAACAAGTCGATTTTAAGCTGTTATGAAACATGAAATTAGTCTCTAAGATATTTTTAATATTCACCAATTTCATATTACCGTTAAAACAAATTTAGAGCGAATATAATCTTTCTGCTCTAGCAAAAGAGATTCTCTATCAGAATTAAATTCGAATCTTCAACATACCTATTTGTCCAAATATCCATTGTTTTTTAAATGACGAAATAACATGCATTGAATTACTAGTGAGCAACAAACCAAAGTCTACGATAGCGAGATTAATAAGAAAATAATTTCTTGGCCTTTGTAAAACACTATTCCTAAAAATAAATAAATAAAGTAAAACTAGATCAATAATAGTTTTCCTTTTTTAATTTACCTGATAAATACAAATATAACTAAACCATTTGATACAATACCAAATATTAAACATACGAGGGAAAATACACCGGAACCATAATGCCATACAGCCGGTATATTGGCTGTTTCATTTGCATACCAAAAACGATCGACTTTCATTGATAAAATTAAATTCTATTCACAATATGAAAGAAAATTTAACAAAAAAAAGAGTAGATTAGTTTTCTGAATTGAAATATTCCGATTGAGTTTGTTTATGCGAGCTTAAATTTCGTGTAAACAGAGAGCAAAAAACATTCATATATATTATTAAGTCGACCAGCTTTTCTTTTCTCTCTTGTTTTTTATGTTACACTGAGAAAGAAGAAAGAGAGCAAGAGCGGAAGTTAGCTCGACTTAAGTGCGTTTCTTTGCAATAATATCCCGGATGCTGTTATCCCGATATTCTAGTTATGTGCAACAATGAAGATTAAAAGAAAAAGGAGCTAACCAAGCGAATAGCGAAAGATGACATGAACACTTTTAGAATGACAAGAATAAAAGAAAATCTACATTTGAAATGTATTTATTAACATACCAGGCAATATATAGAGATGTGTTTATGACGATCACTTGATTTAATCAACAATCATGAAAAGTCCTAGTTGTAGTTGAAAAAAACAATAGTATAAAATTTTACTTGCATGAGCTAGTTCTTACCAGTAACTACAGTGGTACATTGTAGATAAAAGCACTTTATCTGCGTAAATACTTTCATTAATTATATGCTTATTCATGTTTTCTTCCTTTTTTTTCTTTTGAAAAAAATAAACAACATATAAAAGAACAGAGAGCCATAAAATACATTAGTTTGTGAATAGCTTTTGCTTATCCATTAATATGCCTGATTAAATTACAAAATCCGTCACAAGTAATCGCGTTCTATATTCTAAGCATAAAGAAGTACCATTTCCCTTCTCATAAAAGACATGTTCTAATCATTAGAAAAGAAGAAAATAATTTGTTAAGCTCTATAAAGTAAAGAAATGAGAGGGTCGTTTAGAACGTTGTAAACTAGTGCTTTCTCTTAAGCTTTAACACTAATTAGAAGAAGTAAAAAGCAAAATCGAACCTACCAATGAAATAACATAATAGACAAATTGAATTCATTCTTGTTAGAAACGCAAACACGTTCTAGCCGAAAGAGCTAGCTTTTCCCGGAAAACATATCCCATTGAAACACTAGAATCGTTCTTCTATAATAATGATTATATGAATCGTTAGGCGCATGTAAAAATCGTAGACCATGAATCGCTATCTCATTAATAGAAATCGATATTTTGTACTCACAGTATAGTCCTAATGCTCATATTCATTAATAATTAATACGTTACGATAAAATAGCTTGTAGAAAAACAAAATTGTGACATATTTTTCTATATATATATATAAACCAACAATAGTCAGAATTAGCAATTTATTACCATCAAAGTCTATGTCGTAGATTCTTACTTCCTGGGTGCCATTTGAAGAGCAAATAAATCATTTCAATATTACACTTTTGAATAATAAGAGAAAGTAGTCAGTTGTTTTTGTAGACAGGCGCGCAACTATTGGTTTATGGCTTGTGAATAGAGAATATTTCAAGAATCATGAATGCTCATATGCATCCTAAGGCAATCGTTATCTTTTTTTGTGTACTCAAAAAACAAAAGTGAGTACACTATAGAATCGGCCAGTACAAGGGGGGAAAAGCGGCTCCTGGCTCCTTGGATTCTCGCGGCTCCTCATGGACCCTGGCGGATTCTATGGATCCTAGTGGATTCTGGCGGATTCTGTGGATCCTAGTGGATTCTATGGATCCTAGTGGATTCTGGCGGATTCTGTGGATCCTAGTGGATTCTATGGATTCTGGTGGATTCTATGGATCCTGGTGGAATCTACGGCTCCTGGTGGATTCTAGAATCCATCAGGAGCCACCAGGAGCCGCTTTTCTCCCCTTGGGCCAGTGTGTCCGGCCGTTTACACGATAGCTCCTGAAAGGCTGATCCGATTGTCATGAAATTTTGTGCACAGAATGATCTCATCAATATCTCAGTCGAGTTCGAAGATGAGAGGGTGTGGGTGTAGATAAGAGCCAGGTTGACACACCACTCACACCCACGCTCACAGACCACACCCACACCCACACCCGGTTCTGTTAATTATCAGCGTACTGAAGCCGCCTGTACTAGTCACATCAACCAAATTTGCTTAGTTTTTGAGTTTGGTTTTTATTAAAGATGTCACCATAAAAAGTACCTATTTGCTATATGACTTAACCAACGGGGAAATTAGCGGCGCCATGTAGTATAATTTATTGTAACATGAAAATATGCAAATTTTTGAGCCGCAATCGATTTTTTTAACTAACACTAAAAGTGCTAACTTATTAGTAAAATTTAAAAAATCGATGAATAAAAGGTAAAACTGCTCGAACCGACAGTTTTATTACACTCTAAAAAAATCGTCTCTCTACTGAACCCCCGAAAAAGGTTCCGGAGATTTGAAAAAGCATCTAAACGTGTCCAAAGTTTCAAAAAAAGGATAAAAAAGTCTGCGAAACCTTTAAAGGTTCTTATCCTGGGCACACGCTAAGAACCTTTAAAGGTTTCGCAGATTTTTTATCCTGTTTTTGAAACTTTGGATACGTTTAGATGCTTTTTCAAATCTCCGGAACCTTTTTCGGGGGTTCAGTAAAGAACCGATTTTTTTTAGAGTGTAAGAACCGACGGTTACCGTCGGTTTTGATCAAAAACCGACGACATGGGTCTATTTATAGAGTATGTCTTGTTGATAGTTAGATAGAGCTTATTATTGAGTTGCTGAAGAAGGTGTGAAAGAGAAAAATAGAACGTGCTCATATTCTAAATTCATTATTTTGTTGCATATCAACTAAGAACATTCATGTTTTCAATCTGGCATAATGAAATTGTAACACAAGACAGGTTTTTTGAATGGCTACAACTTGATCAGGGTCATACAAAAACTATAACCGAGTGGTTAATGGATGATCAACGCTTACATAAACTAGTCTCTCATCACCAATCGATAGAACATCAGCTCAATATTCTAAATTAGCTGGCGCATAGGCGGCGCAGGGCAAAATTTCTAGGGGTAGCAATAAATTTATCAAAGTAATAGTAATACGAATAAATTTTATGCCATTTCATAATTCACAAGAAATTTATTTATGATCGAAATATTTTTTTTCTCTCTTTGTTTTTTGATACAAATTCAGTTACTATGGCACCTAAATCGATGTTAAAACTACGCTCGATATTTATTAATGCTAAACTAGACAGTCGTTCTTGACCAGTTGTATTGCGAATGTATGTTTTAAGTCGTCTTCAGGAAGAAAAACTTCTTTCACATTCGCACGTATTAGCTGGAATTGTCCACAATATTTTTAACAAATTATTCATTGAATTAAGTGATTGATGAAAATTGTTTTCTACGAAAAACTTTGTTGCTAATGATAAGTTTATTTGTTTCTTTTGACCAAGTGCTACCTTGTAGAAACGTTGTTCACTTCTTAATTCATCATAGTTCATATTATAGAATTGAGCAATTTGTTGTAATTCAAGATCATTTAAAAATCCATTTGTTAAAAATAGTTTTTCACATAATAACACAATACTTAAACTATTTTCGTTAAATCTTTCATTAATTGATGTAATAATTACATCTAATACAGCATAAAAGGAATTAATACGATAGTTATCTTTAGCAGCTAATGTTGTTGATATAATATCACCACCACCTAAGCGTGCAGGAACTTTCCTCTTTCGTTGTTCATCGGGTTCATCAATATCATTCTCTGCACAAATATTCATAGTTTCATTCCAAATTCGATTAAATTCATCATCATTTTTCATTGACTCAAGGGAACAAATAGTTATTTCCACTTGAGCTATAGCTTCTCTCAAAGAAACACCTAATTTTTGTAAAAAACTTAGATAATATGTTTGTAATAAGAAAAACTTCACTCATCAAATGAATGTGAAAGATGAAATCAAATGTTTGTATAACTTTTAATAGTATAAATGCATCACCAACTTGAATTTCTTGTAAGGTAGCTACAATTTCAGTGTAACGTCTTGATACTACTTTTAATGATTCAAAACAACAAGACCAACGTGTATCGCACAATGATTTTAATGACATTGATACCAAACCTGCCTCTTTTTGAATGTCTTCAAAAACTTGATGTCTTTTTGCTGATACTTCAATAAAATTGTAAAGCGATGTAATAGGGATAGATTCGGAAAAAACGTCAATATGAAAATTGAATTAATATAACCTGATATCATTCTTTCGAAAGATGATCGACTTAAACTCTGAGTAATCCGATCTACCTCTTTGAAGGTTTACATTATAGACTTTCCAATGCAAATCTTCCAATGCATTATACTTTTTCTCTATCAATTTATTAATTTATCTTCTATATATGTCATTCATATATGCATAGTACGCTACAGCATTCTCTCAAATACGTTGCTTGAAAACTTATTTTAAAAAGATTTAGCTCCAACATTCTCCAAATGATGATTGCGAAACGGTAGTAAAGCTCTGGTCAGTATCGAGTTCGCTAAACATATTTAAATCCTTCACATGTGCATGTGTTGTTTAAATTTTTAGACTGAAACAGTTTAATTCTAACAGACTTCTTTTCCTTTCCTTTTTTTAAATATCCGACGTCCTTTTAGTGTGATTCGTAATGCCAAAATTATTTCTAACAGGTACCACTGCTTGTGATAAGTCAACTAAACATAAATTTAATATGTGTCCATTGCAATGGACATATAAGGCAGTAGGTACAATTTGTAATAAACGAGTTGATACACCTTTATATGTGCCCCTCATTGCACTTGCCCCGTCAAAGCATTGACCAACTATATTATTAATATCCAAATCGAGTTGTTTTAACCACATAACTAATAATTTAAACAAAGCTTCACCAGTTGTACTTGATGCTCGCTGAAATCCAATAAAACGTTCATATACATGAAATTGATCGTCAGCATGACGTATAACTAAAGACACTTGTTCATGACGAGAAATATCAACTGATTCATCCATCATAATAGAAAAGTATTTGGCGCTTTTAATTTGGAACACAATTTGAGATAATATATTGTCGTGTATTAAACATAATAATTCATTTTGAATCGAATGATGTGTATATTGCAAAGATTTAAATTTACTTTTAATCAAATCATTATCAAAACTTCTCAATTCAAGTAATTCAAGAAGATTACCTAAAATAGAAAACAAATCGGCAATGAAAAGAAAAGAGTAGTATGAAACAGTGAAATGTGACGTTTGTTAAAACTCTAATGATTAACTCTGTTTGATAGATTTATTACCTTTATTTTCTGACTCTTCATCTTCTCTATGACCTCTAAGTGCCAAACCTTGACGAGCAAGAAGTAAAATTGTTCGAATTATTTCCTGTAGATACAATCTGTTTTCAGAAGCTTGTTTTTCATGCTGTCTGTTTAATTGTTTTGCAACATCATTATTATTTTTATGATTCTTAACTGCATTAATCCATAGATCGTTAGCATATTTATGTGATATTGTCGCTTGATGTTTATTAAATTTTGCTATAGCCACAGACCAGTTATTAAAACCATCTACAGTAAATCATTTTTCAGAGTGACCTTCGGAATAAGCATAACGACAAACAAAACAATACGCTCTATTCGTCATTTCACTAAATTCGAGCCATTTGTAAAGTTGAAACCGAGGATAACAAAAATGTCGACGGTTAATAGTTGGAAATTTACTATTTGGTTGATATGGTCCTGCTAACAGATAATCTTTCGCATATTTTGGACTTGGGCATGGGTCTCGCTTAGATGGATCATTCATAAAAATGTTATTTAATAAATCATGTTCTTGTGCCGCTGTTGTTGTTGATGTTGTTACTGTTGGAGTTGGTGTAGATGTTCGTGTTGTTACTATTGGGATTGGTGTAGATGTTGGTGTTGTTACTATTGGGATTGGTGTAGATGTTGGTGTTGTTACTGTTGGAGTTGGTGTTGCTGATGTTGAAGTTGTTGTTGTTGATGATGTTGGTGTTATTGCTGTTGTTGTGGAGGGATTTTCATAGATTTCACATTGATCATGAAGAGTTAAACTTGTTGATGAGGATAATGGTGATGGTGCATCACGAAATTCAGTTAACACGATTGCTTCGTTTATATTCATGATCTCTGAATTTGTTGTTGTACATTGAGGTGTATTATTTGTTTCTTGTGCTAAATTATCAGGTTTTTTTGAGAAATAATATAACAATTTTCTTTTATCAGACATTTAACAAGGTATATATACAAATATATAACAACTATAAAATAAAAATCGAATTGAATACAAAACAATCAATTTAAGAATGAGAAGTCTCGTTTTATCATAATAGAAGTAAGATAGTAGTTGCCATTTTTATCAAATGACATAATGTTCGTTTGTCACAGATATGACCAAACAGATGTCGTATATACATGACAAAAAAAGCTAGGGGTAGCAATAATTTTTTATTGCAACCCCTAATTTTTCTTAGGGGTAGCAACTGCAACCCTTTGCATCGCTGGCACGCCGCCTATGCACATATACACTTTTTTCCTGTTTTCTGTCATGGCGAAGAGAAAGAGAAACAAGCAGGATCCTACTTATACTGATCTCTAATTGACAACCAGTTATTGTTTTTAATTATTGATGTTTGAAACGGGGAGGAAGAGGGACATTAAAATCCTCACCTTAAAACGTACACTCACTATTTTCTTCGAAAATATGTGTGGCTTCTACAAAATAGTTCCTTCCCATGTCATAGAAATCACGCTAAAATCGGCGATTTAATCGCGATATGTTAGTCCGATAATCGTGAGATTATATCGCGATTAAATCGCCAAAACTGTCGATTTTTGCCGATTTTTTTGCCGATTTTGATAAATAATCGCAATTTTTGCGCATTGTTTTTGCTTGAATATTGATTAATCAGTAATGTTATGGGTATATTTTAATACATAGTATGCATGTGTACTAATTTTTCTTCGTTTATTACTAATAAGCTATTGTTCAGACAATACGTTTCATGAAATTATGACAGCAGTTTTCATGAGCGACGTGACATTCTAACACAATGCGTGCGCATTACAATGAACAATGTAACATAATACGATAATAAATAAAGTATCAGCTAAGTAATTACAGAAAACAATTTTCGTATAA